CCTGCGACTGCCGAGCGCCAGGTGGCCATGTATATTTCAGTATCAATGCTTTCCGCGAATGATACCCACTAGCTCTGGCTGCCCATGAGCCAGCGCTATCCGGATGGCGGATCTGCCATGGTTGTTCTGGCTGGCAATATGTCGCTGTCCTAGCTGGGGCAGAGATTACAAATCCGAGCCAACGGTGATCCGAAACAGCTTCAAGCTGAATAGATCCGCCGTAAAAAGATAGCTGGGCAAACTCGTGAAATGCTGAATTCCGTAGCACATCTTGACTGGCAAGCAAGATGCGATTATCCACGTATCGTAGCATCAAAAATTCCGGCGTCTGCGACGCGTACTTTTGAAAGGCTTCCTGAGCGGCCCAGGACTTCCGCCAAGAGCGCTCTCGAAAAATGACTGGCAGACTTGACAAAATAGGGCTTATTTGGTTGCCTATGCATGTCCCTCGAGTCTGGCGATACACACGGCCCGCTGCTTCAAACACACCTGTAGTGAACGACAGCTCGACTATGTGGGCAAGGTCACTCTGTCGAATGGCTTTCAGTCCGCGGGAGCATCCACCCCGAGGCCGACCTGGAAAAGCTTTCTCCTGCCCTTGCTGTGGGCGCATGACAACTGTAATGTCGGCTTCGTGCCCAGCTGCCTTGTACTCCGCCATTAAGCAATCTAAGGCCCGCAAAATTTCCAGACGTGGGACAGAGTTGAAGAAGCCAATAAGATCATCGTTGACCTCTTGCAAATGAACTTCACTAGGTGTGTCGCGAAAAAAGGTGTGCATTCTTTGCCATAGTCTAGGCATGGTGTCGAGGCCTAGGCCATCCCACCACACTGTGTGGATCATCAGCGCAATGGCTTGGGAAGCAGCCGCCAGTAAGCGAGCCAGCACTGAAGAGGCATAGCTGATGATGGTGCGACCCGTGCGAAATTGCTTCTTGCGTTTGAGAAACACAAAGCCTCGGGGGATCCGGGCTGCACATTCAACTCCCCAGGCGTAACGTTTTTGAATGGACTTGGGGATCTGTTTCACGACCCAGGACTGCCACTCCCCTGCCGTGCCCGTGAGAGGTTGAAATACTTCTGGGTCGTCCCAAGTGCGCAAAACTGCTTGATAGTAGAAGCGTGGACAGTACACCATCAAATGAGAGTTGTGGTGATCCTCATTGTGAATGACGAACTGCTTGTGCAGTATATGGCGGGTCTTGTGGATGTCTGCCCAAGTGAATCGATGGTGATGGTCCAAAGCAATCCTATGGTCCTCCCAGAGCTGCCAAAGCAGCTCGACGAACTCATCTTCGAGACTGGGAGGAAATCCATGCTTCCTGCGCCACCGAGAAAACTTCAAACGGTTGTGCTGCATGTAGTAGTGCTTGGCAGGGAAAAAAGTAGATGAAGCGCTGGCTGTAGCAACCGGTCGGAGCCACTGGTGGCAACTGACCAGATCTTCTATGCCGCAGGCGACATGCGAATCTACCAGAGAGTTCGGAGGAAGCCGTGAACGGTACGATGCGCACGGACACTTAAGCTGTTGCACCTCACACGAGGACACACGCTGGTCCCAAAACTGTGTGTTGTGTAAGAACTCTCGAAGAGATTGGTGTGGGGCTTCACGAACGGTGTGCGGAGGAAGGTGAAACGGTACCAGCATCCACTTGTAGCGAAGCACCTGCGCCCTCAGCCAGCGTGAGATCTGCTTTGGAAAATCATCAGGTGCCAAAAACTGGATAGCGAGGGGCGCATTCTGCACAGGCCAAGTCATGTTTCGAAAGTGGGCGACCTGTTTCAAGAACTGCCGCGCGCGTGATCGCAGCGGCTCTTCCAAGTTCATACTTAGTCGAAACATCGCATACACTTCATCATCGGTGAACCGTGTGCTACGGAGAGTCTTGTTGGCTCGGAAACTGGCCGCTGTAAAGCTGGTCAAGTCAAACAGCATTTCCCAAGCATGTCGGCGTGACACGCACATGGCCAATGGTTGCCGGGTTGGGTATAATCTCTTGCGCAACTTGCGCCACAAGCGAAGCCCAAATCGCCCGTAAGCTGTCATGCGCCTGCGCTTTGCAGGCCGAAATCCAAGGGCTGAGCGTTTCAGGAATTGTTGGATGAAAGGGAAATTCAGCTTTGGCTGCCAGAGTTCGATGAGGGAGTGTTCAAAAATCCACGCAGCTCTATAAGACTCGCATGCGGCAATGGCAACTACGCTAAAGGCTTCAAAATTGCCTGCGCTGTGCCAATAGCGGACGGCCAGCTCAACCTGCGCTTCTTGATGGTTCTGCAACCGTTTAAACACTGACATGCGGTTGCTTTCCCGGAGTGTGACGGACACGGACGTGCTGCCTATGTACAGCATTGGTGACGGCTGCCGGTACTTCTCGAGAGTTTTAAAATGGCGCCAGTCCACTTGCAGCTTCACATAGACGGCATTGTTGGCTTGAAACCACGGCCAAGTGTATTTGTTGGGAGTGACCCCGAGCTGTTGAAATCGGCCGCGCATGACGTGCCCAAAGGCAGCGTCGTTGGGCGAATGTTGCGGCGTCTGATGGTGAAACAAAAGACATAAGTGAAGAAGCCCTTGGGCCCAAATGACGGGGGATTTGGCGACGGCAGCGCACCTGTGCTTGAAAAACGTGCACGCCGCGCCGAGCTCCAAGACCTCCTGAAACACTTCAAACTTACGTGCTGCAGGCAGGTCTGCGCTCTTGCAAGCTAGTCAAGCAGCTTGGTACTGAGCCGCATGAATAACGCTGGAAAGATTGCGGACATTCAGCCGGACTGCCATTTTCTGATCAAGTCCGAACCGGGTAGCGGCTTCAACGAGCTCGGCTTTGGAACAGTGCTTCTTCAACAGTTCCTGAACCACGCGCACATGCTTCTTGAAGACAGTGAACTCTCCTTTGAAAGTGCCCTTAAAAGTGTTGAGCCACTCGGTGATGTGCTCATCCTTGGCTCCGCGGGGTTGGGCGTCCAACATGCGAGCAGGTGGTCCCTGCAAAAGCTTTACAACCGCCGGATCGTGACCAGTCAGGTCAGGATGTTCATCTCCCTCCCCCTTGGCTCGCTTGGCGGGGGGGTCTGCTGCGCTGGACGCAGGTTCGCTGGTCCGCTTCTTGCTAGGGGTGAGCTGGATTCCTGCCGCTGCAAGCTTAGCTCGCGCACGACTTAGCTCATCAGCGATTGCCGGGTCCTGGCTAGGCGCGCGAGCTTGCATGGCCTGAAACAGTTCCTCTGCTAGTGGGCCCATAAACTTGGCAGAGTCTTTGTGCTTGTCAGGCACATCCTGAGTGAAAAAGGTCCGAGCCACATCGTCGATATTCAGGTGAGCATCACGAATCTTTTTCAGCAGACTCGTGACGAAGACGGATTCTTGGACGCTTCGCGTCCATACAATTCCCTGAAATCGGCCTTCTGAGACCAATCTCATGGAGAACTCAGCCATGCCGCGGTGGCACAATTCGTGCAAGCGGACGTCCTCAACCTTACGTCCTGCTATGCCGGTCTTGCGACTCCACTCCGTCGGCTGCACCACTCGAAAAAGTTGGTGGCCAGCGACAGGTGTCTTGTCATGACACGCGGCATCAGGAGAGAACGTGTTTGGAAATGTTGGCGCTGGGGGTGGCACGTCCGGGATGGACGCCGGCTCGGCTCGGGCTTTGGGTCTGTCTGCGGGCCAATGGCTCCAGGAATTGGACCAAGCATCGGTCTTGGACCATGCGTCAGTTTTCCAGTCGCTGGATTCCCAGTCCTTAGCCTTCCACGAGTCGCTGCTCCTGGCGCCCTGGATCTGCCACCACTGAGACATGGCGGTCGAACTAACGTTGTCAGAAGCACTTGCAATCTTGAGTGGCCAGCTGGCCGAACAGCTTCAGAAAAGAATGCGTCGGGGGGATGACGGCCTCTCAGACCCAATGGGCATGCTGGTTTCTGAGGCGATAGACATCGCTGGCTGTCTCTGTTGTGCTTTACAGCACTAACCATGAAATGGCAACTGAGTGGGAAGACTCCCAAAGCTTGGTGGAACAAAGGCAAGTTCCAAACTGACCTGGGGACCTCAAGGGTCAAGCTGACATCTGAGGGTCAACTGAATGACCAATGCTGCGCGCGAGCCGATGGCAAGGCTCAATCAAACACAGTAGGCTATCCTACCGCAGGCAGCCCGTTAAACGAACTACTGCCTGGATCACACTTGTGAAATCCCCCCTCTCTCGGTCCTTGTTGTGTCTCATTTCTTCTACGAGGGTCAGGATCAAGCCCAGTGGGCACACTCTAGGTTCGGATCATGCACTTTAATTGTACCTCAAGTGGAGTTTCGTCATCCTTGGGCCCTACTCGTCAGGGCCACAGACTAGGCCCAAGGATGGCTGTGGCCTACTCCACGGATATAAAAAAGGAAAAACGGAGGTTCCGGGCCGCTGGCACTACCGTTCTTGGCAGTTCGCAAAGCCTTCCGGCTTGCTTTTTTTTGAAATCTCAAGTCCCACGGGTTTAGGGAGGGGAAGAAAAAACGAGAATTCGGACTGCTGGCGCTACCGAGCTCGGCAGTTTGCAAATCCTTCTGGCTTGCATTTTGAGCTTCGAATTACACGCCGCCCTTAGTAAACAGGATTGGACACACACACACACACACACACACACACACACACACACACACACACACACACACACACACACACACACACACACACACACACACACACACACACACACACACACACACACACACACACGCGCGTGCACATCTTGCCACGCATTGTGACGTAGGGTCCTGCAGTGGAGAAGTTAGAATAAGTTGGTACCCGATTTTTTTCTGTAGTCTATTTTAGTAGGGGAACCCTCCCTCCCCAAAAAAAGAAAGGGTGAAAGGGCACTACTGGCGGACCTAGCTGGCTGTGGGTCAAAATGGGTAGCCAAAATGGAACCCTGGTAAATGGAACCAAGGACTAACACCTGCGGTCCAATTCCTGGTGGTTTAATTTTGGCCCACACCCAGCTGACGTAGGGTCCTGCAAGTGCATCTCACCTTCGTAGAGATTCAAGAAGTTGGCGGAGATGGCCCCACCCTGCTCTAGGGCGCTGGTGTGACGCATCCGTATCTCCTCACAAGCCATTCCCACATGCCCAGTGCATTTCCACGGGAAAAAAGGGGCACCCTTTTTTGATTGGTTGAGTTGAGTGTAAAAGGGAACCCTTACCCCAAAAAAGGAAAAAAGGGCACCACTGGGTAACAGAGCATTGGAACTCCGATTGGCTTGAACCACTCTGGCCGAAGCAAAACCAAGCAGTCAGTCATAATCGAAACCTGGTGTGTAAATGATCTACCCAGAAGCAAGTAAAGGATTAAAAAGGTGGCCGCACCCATTTCTGGCTGGGATTGCCCCTTACTACCCTCCAATTGCCCGGGTTTTGATTGTGGCGCACTTGTTGGTTGCTTCAATGGTCCAACCCCCCAGGGAAGTCCAACGAAAGGTGAGTAGGAAACAATTATACACATCCAAGGATCACTGGTGTCAAAGCATCCCACACCTTGTTCAAGTCATTTGGGTCGCAGGGTAAGACCTTTCCGCTTAGGATACCTGCTTTGCGCAGTGCCCCTGGCAAACTGACAGGACCTACACAACACACCCACAACAGCACCAAACCCACTCGCCCGCCCCAAGCCCCCCAAAAAAAAAACGACACCCCGAAACCCCCTTAAAGCCCTGCAAACCACCGGATCCGCGGCTCACGCGGGCCCACGGGCCGCCCTCCCCAAATTTTGTTTTTCGCGCCAAGCGTCACCGCCCTTGAGGAAGACCTTCCGAGATAGAATGGCTCCGCCCGTCGCGGCGGCGGTGGCACTCCTGGGGCGAAACTCTGCAAAGAAAAAAAACGGAGGTTCTTCTGGTTGTTTCCCCCCCCTTTTAATTTAACCACCCTTGGTATGGTACGAGAAAGTTTGCATTGTTTGCAGCCAACAGAACGAAAGAAAACGAAAGGGGGGGGGAAATACAAACTTGCCAACATTGAAGCGCTATTTATCAAAAAGAGTCGAAATGTGCAACTGGGTCAGTGCGCGCAAGCGCATCTCTGGCGCTCAAGAGGTCAAATCCAGAGCACTGGACAGAATCAAAAGGGAAGCTGCACCATGGCTGGAACTGTCTCTTACCTTTCTACCCGGATTCCGATTGTGCCTTTGCAAATACCTGCACCCTCCGAATGTACTGAAATTTCCGTACATGTCCGGAAAAAAATCGTGCATGATTGCTTTTTAGAAAAATTGACGGACATCGCCTTTAGCAGGCTGTGAGCGTTTGTGGAGTTCTTGGATGCACTTGAGCACAGTTTGCAATTTGTATGGCCCGTCATACTTAATTTCGCTTCAGGTCATTCGTCTCCATTTGTTGTGGGGCAACGTGTGACAGCTTCCTTGCTGCTTTTGCAAGTTTGCAGTTTTGTCAGCCAAAATGCAGAAACTGGAAATGCACGAAAATCGGCGGGAAATGAACGGAAATCGGCGGGAAAAGTACGGAAATCTGCAGAAAAAGTACGGAAACTTGCCGAGAAAGTACGGAAATCAGCGGAACATTTGCTTGGGGAAATGCGCACCTTTTGTCCTTGGTGAATTGCACACATTCAATTGGGTTTTTCCATGACAATCCTCAGTCCCAGGGTCGGAGCGGAGTATGAGATTCGTGCAAAACAAAGTAGTTGAATGTTGCTAATATGTATGGATTTCCAGGAAATGCACGGAATTTTGCGGACAGTCATGGCTCCATTTTGGGGTGGATGAACATCCATTTGCCACCTATTTTGATGTTCACCAGGGGTATAGGGTTTTGACCCACAGCCATATGGGGGTGGATCAAAAGGCCCTTTACGGGCTGACCATTGGTTGGTCAACCCCAAGATGACGTTACCCTTGGTCAAAACTGGGCCTTTCTCAGAATATTCTTCAACCCCCATCATGTGGACCCATAGTAATCACCCCCAGTCTATCAATAGGGGGGTGTCCATGGATTTAGTGTAGAACCATCACTTTTGGAGGGCCCCTATGAATAAACTGTTGATTAATATGGCCATGAGTCAAAATCCCGTACCCCCAGTGAACATCCCAATCAAATAGACTAAAATGGGTGGTGCACCTACCAACCAAAATGGTATCCAAAACTGTTTTGACAACAACAGCCATATGCGGTCATTCGTATGGCACATGCCTTGTTCGTCCTGATGCTGATGTTGCCCTTCAGAATCAAGGACTTTTCCACGCGGATCGCCCCTGGCGACAAGGGCGACGCCAAAATCCCCGAGAGTGTGCAAATCCTGACGCTCCGCGTGTGCTGCGCCAGCCCCTCAACCAACCTGTAACACCTCACCCATGTTGCAGGCTCTTTTGATGGAACACCTAGATGAAAGAAACCCTGGTAAGCCCACTTTGCTGGTTCTCCGTGCTGTAGATTTGATGATACCATGATGGAAATACACCCTGGTTACCCACTCTGCTGGTTCTTTGCGAACTCTTGGCCTGCAAACCAATGGGCTGGCCAATCCTAACCTCCTAACACTACGGTCATCCAGGTGTTTGCGGAGTTTGTGCATGACGGTCCCTACCGCCCCAACAACTAACATGGAAGTGCACAAAGACCCCGTTTCCACGAGGACAGTCGCCTTTCTACAGTGGTCTTTGCACGTCCATGTTCGTCAGTGGGAGGGTAACCCTCAGCTGCAGTTTCCAAGGACTTGTGCCGGATTTCCGTTTCCGTTTGTTGAAGGCCTTCACCTTCACATCCCTTTGTATGGTCGCAAAAAAAGCCCTTACTTTTTGTTACATCCCCGTAGTAAAAATGAGCAGAAGCAAAAACAAGCTCTTGCCAAGAGCAGCAACGTCATGCTTCGATCACCTAACTTTGATCCCTCGAGTTCGGTTGGGTTCCACCTACCCAGCAAGCTTTACCATACTTCTAGGGGTTGACTGACCATTATTTTCAACCAGCATTCTTTTCAACAACCGGCCGTTTCCCGGGGTTGTTGATGGTTTCCTGAAAAGACTTCGGATCCCTGGAAAGAATGGAGAAGGTACCCTAGAATAACTCCAAAAACCCGACTTTCGACTCGGATCCCCAAGTAAAGGACAATCCTTGTTGGCTTTCGCTCGTTCCCCGAAATGGGTCCCTGTGAGCTCATGGCATGTCTGGGCGGGCAAAGCGGGAAGGAACTGCCACAAGAGAGCGGCCGAGTCGGCGTTCTCCCAGGCGATGCGTCAAACTGCGTCACCACCAGAGAACCGTGGCTTGAGTCGTGCCTCTCTCCATTCATCGGGCAAGCCATTTTGGGAAGATTTTGAAGTGGAGGTTCCAAGACAGCCGTTCAATGATTTTCATCGGGTGAATGAATGCGCTGACCGGCATCAGCAGCCAGTGTTCTTTCCTCTAAAACCCCCTTCCGAAACCAACTTTCCTCTGCGTGGGTCTGCGGCTCATTGGATGCATCACCTTCTTTCCTCGGCTCAGGCGATCACCTGTGCACCTGGCCCGCAAGCCTTGCACCACATGTGCCGCTCAGAGTTCTCTCTCGGTTGCTTTCCGCTCCCCTGCTAAAAGTTGTCCTTTCAGTGGTTCAATTCGGAAAACCCATTAGTTGGATCAAAAAGGCAAAGTCCTAACATCCCTTGGCAAAATGCAACAAAGATCTTGCGAGCCCAATGCCCAAGCTTCGCCGATTGGCAGCTTCGCTTGTGAAGAGACGTTGGACACGTCACGCTTTGTTGCATCCAGCCTCCCTGTGGTGCGCTCTTGTCTTTGTTTTGACTTGGGAGCGTGTCAATTGGCCGGGTCGGACTGTTCCGTGAGGTTGCTAGCTGCGGATCATTCTAGGCTGCATTATCGCAACCGGGATGTCCCGCATTTTCTCTTGCGGTGCCTCTTTTGGAGAGTCGTCCTGCGCATCCCAGCCCACCGAGTTGAGTGATGGCCCTGCTGGACTGTAAAGCAACCAACCAACCAACCAACCAACCCACCCACCCACCCACCCACCCAACCAGCCGACCGACCGACCAACCAACCAACCAACCACTAAGGGCGCGCATTCTTTTAGCAACGATCAAAGTGCATTGACTTTTGATTCTACCAACCTGGCTCAGGCGGTTTCTGCGCCAGTTCCTGTCATAGCCAAAGGGGATCTTGCGGATTGCCTGAGCCCATTGTTTCCGGCATCCGCAGCGCTGAACCCCGAAATCCCCACTACTTTGTTCGCCCCTTGGAAAAAATGAGAACATGTGTCCAATAGTGATAAATTCCAACTTTACGACCAACAAGCTTGAAACTAAAAACACATATTCAAATGGAAGACAAGAACCCCCAACACCAAACACCCACCCCGAATCCCCACTCTCAAAGCACTGCCACCCCGAAACACCCAACTTCTACGCCTCCGTAGGTGGCGCTCATCTGCTCGAAGGTGGCAACTCCCGCCAGCAGCACCAGGATTCCGTGGATGCCGCCACCTCGCGAAAATCCGAACATCCGAACGCTCGAACGCTGGATCTCTGCGGTGTCTCTAGTAGCTTCCCTTGGGGGGATTCTCTAAAAAGGAAACCACCAGTTGGATGGTTTATAACCTGCGGATTGTTTATAGGGGTAGCTTCCATTTCCATTTTTTGCCAGGGATCCGGATCTTTCCAGAAAACCTCCCAGGGAAAACGGCCGGTTTTTGAAAAGAACAATAGTTGAAAAGAATGGGGAATCAATCCCGAGAATGTCCACTTCCCCCAAACAGAAGTTCCCCCCAGGATAAATTGGGGTATACCTGGGCGCTCCGGGTGTGCACAATTTCCGCCGTTTGGCGAAAAAAGCAGTATGTTCCGCTGTGTTGTGCAAAAAGTGCTTTTTGACCACAAGCCCAATCAATAAAACGTGCATCAGCTTGCAAAAGCCAAAAAGTACTTTTTCTCGAAAGAGCACAAAACAGCACACCCAGGTTTTCCCTACATAGTAGCTGCATATTCCATTAAACCCCGGGGTTTGTAGGGGTTTGGGGGTAGTGGAAGTGCACCTTCTCATCCCAAACACTATGGGCTTGCACAAAAGCTGAGCCGGTTTTGGAAAAAGCCCAAACCCCAACATGAACAGAGCCCCCCTCCAACAAAAACACCAGGCACTTGCCAAGAACAGTGAACGTATGGAAGATGAACTTCCTCTTCAAAATGCGAAAACGCCACCTGAAAAAAGAAAAACCTTCGACACCAAAAGGTAAAAAATAAAAACCACTTCCTTCAGCAAATGATCGTAATCAACATGCAGGTGCCATGTGGGAGGGAGGTCAGAAAGGTGAGGAACACCTGGGGGCTACATGGTGCGGCATCCAAATGTGCAAGGGAGCCTAAGGCCTGGGGTTGGCTGTTTGGGGCAACCACTGGCAGCTGTGGGAATCGGGCGGCGCTCACGTTTCTTGAAAAGTGGAAAGTGGCGCTGACCCGCAACGAGCTCAACTGCTTCCCGGTGTCCAACTGGTTCTTTCGGGTTTCACAGAAGCTCACGCCAGCTCAAAACTGATTGGAACTCTAGACCATTGGGGGCCCCCAAATGGTTTCCTTTCAGGTTGATGCCCGGATTGATCAACCTGGTAGATCAATAATTTCCCAGCAGAAAATATTGAATGGGATGCTTGCCTAACAAAGAAATACCTAAGGGCAACCTAGGAGTCTCGAGTTCTTTTGCGCAAAAAACGCGCTTGAAGCTTGAAGCCAAAAGGAAAAAATGACTTTTGGTCTCCCCAGTTTGAGACATGGCTGTGGGTCAAGTGGAAACATGGACCAAAACCTCTGGCTTTTTGGTGGTTCAATGTTGACCCATACCTGGGTGTTCAACCAACTCCATATGTTATAACTGGTGTAGCTGGGGTTAGTCTCCTTATATCCGCAGTGACCTGACAAGTAGCTTGAAAACTACTAGATTACCACTATGGATACTGGGGTAACCTGAGATCTATGAGTTGCCACGGTCACAACCTAGTGTCCAAAGACGAAATCTATTTCACACCACTTTGAAACCATTGTTCGTTGGTATTGACAACGCAATCATCATTGGGATTCTTAGGGGTGTGAAATGGACTTCGCAGCCATGCACAGTAAGTCGGTTGAATGCTAGTGCCCATTCGCCCCCCCCTTCCCCCCGCCCGCCCCCCCCAAAAAACAACAACACTAAAATACACCCAATAACAATAATAATAATAATAATAATAATAATAATAATAATAATAATAATATATTGGTGGTGTCCCTTTGGTCCCCCTTCCCCGCCCCCCCAAACCCCCCCCCCTCCCGCCCATCTATCCCTCGCCTGCAGCGTGCGGCGCACTGCAGCGGAGGAGGTCCATCCGCGCATCAGGGCCTGACCGCCGGCCCGGTGCTCCGGCCAGGGGCTCCGGACCATTTGGGGCTTGGAACCCGGGGGGTCAGAGCATGCGGAAGCCAGAAGGACGACCAGCATCTCCCTCACTCCGAGTTTCTGGACCTTTCTCGCACTTTTAAGGTGGGTTGGACCATTTTGGGTAAAGAAGAAACCCTGGGAGTCTTTGTTTAGCAAATCTGCTCAGGAAACGAGAAGGAGGTGGGTGGCATTTGTCGAGTTTCGGGCTCTGGAACCCTTCAAAAGGGAAATGAAGAAGGAGGTTGCTGAAACTGCAGTGGGTTAAACCATGCCTAACCCGGGAGGAGGTGGGCAATGTTCCATCTCTTGACTACCTGCAAATAGACTTCAACCCAGGAGTTCCCCTTTTGGGGGGAATGGACCACCCCTTGGTTTAAGTCTACCCTGACGTAGTCAAAAAGTGGAACCCTGCCTCCGGCCACGCGCCAAACTGCCCGTTTTCGGATCCCCCGCTAAGAGTGACTCACTGTCAGTGGGTCAAATACGGAAACTACCACTAGACACTAAAAAGCAAAAAGGCTAAGGAACCGGATGGCTAGCCCGCAACCGGCGCATGGCCATGGCTCAAAACCCAAATACCTCTAGTTTGTCCATCCGATTCAATTCAAGCACTAATATAGGAAGCCTAAAATGGGTGGTGAATTCAACAAAATGGGATCAACCACAACGTGTTTGAACCATGGCCACATGACAAATGTGGTCCGAGTTCGCCCCAAAAAAGAGGTCCTTAAAACAACACCGCCCCAGAAAGGCCAGAACATGGGTCCCATTCCGTCCACCCCAAGATATCCCAAAACAAAAAAGGAGAGCTGCCCGAGCTGCTGTTTACCAGCTCGAGTGGCCCCAAAAACTTGGTTGACGTTAAAACAAATATGTGTTTGGCAGTTCAGCGGGGATTCAACCACTGAACCGCAATAAGCAAAAATGGCAAATGTGTCCCAACAACGAACATGAAAACGACCAAATCTCGATCCTAGTTTCCATGAAAGGAGGTTGCCGCGCTTGTCCCCATTGGCTAACTTGCCAGTGGATCCCAGCTACCACGAGAGGTAAGCAGCCATCCAATTGGTTCCTTTTGAAGTTTCGTCGTGATTTGCCTTGGACACCTACTAGAATGATATGGCTGTGGGTCAAAACCCTGTACCCCTGGTGAACATCAAAATAGGTGGCAAATGGATGTTCATCCACCCCAAAATGGACCCTTTGGTAGGCAAAAGAAGTGCTTCCAAGAACCAATGTATCCTTCACGATGCTTTTGCTGGGCACCTGCAATGCTTGAGGGTGCTTAACAAACAAAAGGTTACGCCTAAAAGTCATTGAGCAGCATTCAAATGTCCGCATCATTTTAGTAAAGGGCAAAGACATAATTAACACGAAGTGGTACCCAAGTTGACCCAGAGTTGCACGGATTTACCTGAGGCACGCTCAACATTATGTACTTGTTTCCCCTAGACAAAAGAAAAATAATGGGGCTGGTTCATTTGTTCGTGACTTCCCACGTCCATTTCTCCCAAATGGGCCATACAACAAATGTTGACCAAACCTTTTAGCGGCACCCCCAAACCTGTTGACGTTTGGATTCTCACATGGTTATAACAGTTTAAATTTCTTCGTGCACTATGACCCCAAGTAAACCAGGCAAAGAACCACCTAGTACAACTCGCTTCCTGAGTGGCTTACCCAAGAATTACGAGTGCTCCAAACTCTACAACTCTTGGTATGGGAGCACAACACTTTATTTTTTGCAGCCCCCCACTAAAAAAAATAAACAGAACAACGACAACAAAAACAACACATGCCAAGAACGGTGAAGCACACCCAGTGAGTGAGGGTCCATGACCTCAACAAAGAGACAGGGCCCTCTCCCAGAACTTGGAAGTTCTGGTGCCATCTGGCCCAAAGCCCCCCGCCTTGCACAATTTCTCTGGCGAAGATCGCGCCACCCTCGGCGCGCCTGGCAAAAGCGACGTCTCAGAATCCGCGCCGAGTGAGGAAACAAGGCGAGTGACTTGCTCGGGAAAACAGAAGAACAACCTAAACAACAGGGGTGTCTTTTTTACCTTTTGTGAGAAAATTGGCAACCCCCTCAATAAGGAATCCTTCACTACGTGGGGGTCGATCATTTTGCGACAAAAGGCGGCAAAAAGACCCCCTGCTAAACAAAGTTATCTAAGCTATTCAAAGCTATTCAAACAAGGTCAGTGATTCAACCTATTCCAACAAACTCCCAGTTCTTTCGCCTGCATTTAACGGGCTGTGACTTACAAAAAAGGCAACCCCTCGGCGATTGCACTCCAAAGAGGCCCCGGCCTGGCGGTGCAGTCTGTGAAGGTCATGGTGCCAGCGGACTGAAACAGTTGGCCGCGCGAGAAGACGTAGATTCCTGCGGCGGAACTAGGCCAGAATAAGTTGGTACCAACTTTTTTCCGGTTTAGTCCATTTTAGTAGGGCAACCCTCCCCTAAAAAGGGGAGAGAAGGGCACTACTGGGGGACCTTGCGAGAAGAAGTAGATTCCTGAGGCAGAACTAGGCCCTCCAGCAGAGAGGTTAGAACAAGGGTACCAACTTTCTTCTGTGGTACTTTATATATATATATATATATATATATTTGTTTCGATTTAGTCAATCTTAGTAGCGGAACCCTCCCCCAAAAACGGGGACAGAAGGGCACTACTGGGAGACCTTGCGAGAAGACGTAGATTCCTGAGGCAGAACTAGGCCCTCCAGCAGAGAAATTAGAACAGGGGTACCAACTTTCTTCTGTGGTACCAACTTTTTTCGGTTTAGTCCATTTTAGTAGGGGAACCCTCCCCCAAAAAAGGGAAGAGAAGGGCACTACTGGGGGACCTTGCGAGAAGACGTAGATTCCTAGGGCAGAAAAGTCATCGACGTGGACGGAAGTTCTGCCATTTGGCTGTGGGTCAAAAATACATACCCAAAACGGAACCCTGGTAAATGGAACCAAGGACTAAAACCTGCTGCCCATTTGCTTTATTAAGCCCCCAGGAAGAAAAAATGAGAAAATATGTCCAGGAGTGATAGATTCCCTTTTTAAAACCAACAGGGGAGATTGAGACATATTCTTAAACAAATGGAAGGAATCCACCCCGCACCAGTGGGCAGGTGCTTTATCCCTGTGTTCGAATCGGGTTTTGTGCATCTCAGGTGCCGAAAAAGCGTGCCTGCATGCAAATCTCAGGTGCCGAAAAAAACGCGTGGATTGAGTGCATCAAGACTCATTGATCACACCGCAGTCTCAAACAAGAAAAACGTTGCATGCAAATCTCCAATGCAAAAACAAACGTATGGATTGTGTGCATCATAACTCATTGATCACACCGCAGTCTCAAATGAAAAAAAAAACAACAAAAAAAACGCGTTGCATGCAAATCTCAGGTGCGGAAAACCTGCTTTTTAATCTTTCGTCCTTGTCAAAGCTTGTCGCCCTTGAGGGCGGGCGCTGGTTTACCAAGTTCCAGAAGTATTGTCTCACTTCCTGAGTGGACTGGGCAACAAAGTCAGTTGTTCACTTTTTGCTTGCTAAAACGGTCCAAAGCTCGAGTCTATGAACTCAAGTGAGTTGTTTGTGTGTCTCACCCCGCATTGTTCAACAGATATATGCTGATAAGCGGGGGCCGCTGAGAAAATGGAACGAAGACAAACCAAGCGGTGGTTTCCTTTAAGGGGCTGGGTTCATAATGAGAAATGGAATGACCAACCAGAAAAAAACCATCCAACCTGGTGGTTTCCTTTAAGGGAACCTTAAAACGGTTCCTTCCCTCATTCCCTACCCTTGGTCTTCCAGGAGGTCAGAAAAAGCAGGCCTTTGCCCGAATTTCCAAATTTGGAGCCAAAATCAAAATCCAGAAGATTTCCATTTTCCATTTGTCAATTTTCCATGTCCATTCTCCATTTGGAGCCACTTTCCATTTGGTTTTGCGGGTCAAACATAGGTACCACAAATAGCTTGCCCTGGTAAATGGAAACAAGGACTAAAATCTGCGGTCCAATTCCTGGGGATTTAATTTTGACCCATGCCAAAAATGAGAATTATATGTCCAGGAGTGCATCTCAGGTGCCGAAAAAAGCATGGATGTTGGGCGTCATGCTTCGTTTCTCAAACCGCAGTCATGGTTAATGTTTTGACCCAAGTGTCCATTCGGTTTTTGCGGGTCCTTGGAAGACCCCAAGGGCTACCTCTCGCACCCATCCCCGATCCATCCGCTCCCCGCGATCGGATCTCGCCGATCGCCTGCCCCGATGTGCGCGCTGCAGCTCCGGAAGCTCAGGTGCGCGCCGGGGCCTCGCATCGAAACCCAGGGCGGAGGGGCGGAATTTTTGTTTGGCCCTCGTCGCCTGTTCGCAAGCAACTGGGTCCTCCAAAAAACCTACTAGATTAAAAAAAAAAAAGCAAAACTCGTAGAAACAAGCTCTGGGCATTGAAGGGAAACCAGGAGAAGTTGGTTGAAAGAATCGTTGACCACTAAACATCATTTGCCCAAAGAACTCAGAATCTCCACTAGGTCCTCCAGTAGAGAGGTTAGAATAAGGGGGCCCGATTTCTTTTTCTGTCGTCTCTTTTCGTCAGGGAGCCCTCCCAACCAAAAAAGGGGAGAGAAGGGCGCCTGGCTGGGGGACCTAGTCAACTGAAAGACCCGGGTGCATTTCTTCGGACCAGGGACAACCCGGAAAAATCCCGGGAGAAACAAAAAACAAAAAAACGGGGGAGTTGCAGGGAAAACCCCGGGGAAAGCCCGAACAAAAACGGAAAACCCGGGGTGTTTGGGGAGGTCCTCGTTGGGAAAGCCCGGACAATCTGTTGGACCCCGCATGGTTTTTGCTCGGACACAGCCACATGGTTCCTGAGACCCCCCTAAATTTAAACAGCACCCCCCTCCCCCTCTAATGAACAATCAGACACATGCTTAGTCTTAGGGGTCCATGACTGTATTTAGAGGCAGGGAGTAGATTGAGTTGTAGCACAACATATCTTACCTCCAGCTGCCTACATAACTACTTGACCCGGTGGAAACAAACAAACAAGAGTCTAAGCCACATAAATCCGTTTCTGGAAAAAAAAACATTCAATTCCTTGATTGCAATTGGGTAACGTATCTTTTGACTTTAGCTTTATGCTTGAAGTCAAGGTTTCTCCGACTTGAACCCACAACCACATCACATGCTCATTGTTTGCAGAGGGGTCAACAGCAACCGAGAATCTGTGAGCAGGCAGGCAGGCAGCCACCCAACAGCAACACAGCTTTCCAGGCGGTCCCACCGAGCGTCCCCGGACAGGGATTTGCTTGGGGCTGGTTTTTGTTCAAGCGATGATTTTTTGGGGGGCCCATAAACTAAGAGGTCAAAGGAGAGCCAAAAGGAGGATCGACCACAGGTTTGGGTTTGGGTCAAAAAAGGTTTGGGGTTGGGCCCAAGGAAAGTCATCGCTGTGATCGCTGGGCTCAGATCTGCTAAAAGTGACTACCGCACCTGTGGGAGGGTACCTGGAAGACCAACTTCCTGAGGGGCCCCCTGCCAGATGCCAGCTTGGCAGGGAGGATAATTAACTTTCAACAAATCGAATGAACACCCCACCACTCCAAACCCACAAACTAATTCCTCCACTCCCTGAGCTCTAAGCTCTAAGCCGACCGCTTCGCGCATGGGTTCGTTCTCTTTGCTTCCGCCTGCGAAGATGGAGCCGTTCCGATTCATGATCCCGGCGCCGCCCCCCTCGGTGGCCTGAGAAAGGCCCCGCGAAGCGGAGAGCGAGGCGGAGCGAGCCGGGCGAGGCGGAGCGGCGTCCGAGGTCCCCGCGGAACGCGGGCGAGGAGCCCGGACAAATTCGCAGAAGTGGCTAGGGACACAACCCATGCACCTGGAGTTTTATTTCTGGCCCTTGAAAAATGGAAGCACTACCTAAAATTAACTGGAGCTTGAAAAATGGAATCATTACCTAATATAATGAGGTGGGAGTCTCCATGACGATTGAAAAATGGAAGCACTACCTAAAATTTAAAAGGTCATGGCCAACCATTTTGGAAGGGTCATGGAGACTCCAGGTAGTATGTACCCACACTTACCCCTGGCCCAAATGTTGGTATTGCCTACATGAACGGGTTGGGCGGCAATTCTACGAGTCAAGAACCCGAAATAAGGGAACAACTCACTTCCGAGAACATGTTGTACTATGGTCTTAACTCAGGGACCGAGCCAGGCTCAGGGCCTACATCATAGCTGGTTCAATCCCTTCGGTGCCTCAAGTTACTCCCAAACGGGTTTCTGCTTTTCAACGGATGGTCAACAGCTTGTACATGGCCAGTAGATGTATTTGTCCACCGGAAATCCATTGGGAGAAGCATCTCAAAAAAATCCGACTCAGCCAGCGTCCATTGTGGGCTCCATACCTGATGGGAAGTTCAGTGATTCAGGGGAGCCCTTTTGCCCAATTGCCCGGGTCCCTTTCGAATTTGCCCGTTGCCCGTCGATTGGAACACCTGTTTACGTCGTGGGGAAAGGAACGCAAGAGAGTTGCAAAAATCAAGAAACCAGACACACCCGTGTAATGGAGAGGCGCATGGCGGTGGAAAATCGCCTGTTTTGTGAGATTCCAACGAAAGATTCCCATCCCTGTGAGATCTTCATCAATGCGGGAATCCCCGTGGTACCCAATTCTAGTTCATTTGGCCCTGGTACCTCCAAAAACCAGAAATTAACCTTAACATTGCGGGGCAGTAACGCATCTTCAAGCATAGTTGGCAGGTCCAGGTTTGAAAGTGCAGGACCTATATACTATTGGTTTTCTCTAAGGATCATAGATGAACATCTAATTTAATTGGTTGGGCCCTTATAGCCCAAAGGCTCCTACATTTGCCTACAATCACCTCTGAACATCTCCAAATGTCGTCAAACCCTGTGGATGGACAACATCCTATACACCAGTGGCTGTGGGTCAAAAATTGTGCCCAAAATGGAACCCCGGTATATGGAAATAATAGCTAAACCAGCAGTCCCCTAGTGGTTTAATTTTGACCCATGCCTAGCCAGTATGGTTCACCCCAGTTTTGACCCCGGCTTTCATCCATCCGCATGGGTGCCGATCGAGTATCGCCGGAGGGCCAGACAAGCCCACCCGCTTCTTTTTCGATTGAACTGGTTCTGACTTCAGGAGTGGACTGCCCAAAAACCGTTGGATCTTGTTGCTTACCACTAACACAGTCTTTCCAAAAAGTACAAAGTCCAACGCAGGAAGAGGGTGTTCCTCTTTGCTGGCGGCAACGACCCCTCTGCTGATGTCAGACAAACTAGTTAATAAGTTATACCCCAACAGCATCAAGGTCGAACGTCAGGGAGTGAGTATGCATAAAATCATTACACACGTGCACGTCCGATTTTCGTGAGGTTGCCTAGAAGACACACACACACACACAAAAAAAAAAAAACACACATTCGGGTATGAGTCAAAAAAAGGGGGACCCAACAAATTGATTTGGCCATGGGTTAAAACCCTGTACCCCCAGGGAACATCCCAATCCCCACTAAAATAGACTATAATGGGTGGTGCACGTATCCCAAAATGGGATCCCATTGGTTTTGAACCATGGCCAATGGTTCTTCCTTCGATTCAGTCTTTTAAACCAACCTACACTGGCTCTCCGATACAACCACCTGGTTGGCGAGACCCCTCAGAAAGTGTCTCAACTTGTGGGTCCAATTCGGAAAATCCGACAGTTAAAGTCCAAAGATCCCGTTACAGCCATACAGTATGCGTGCGGCCTTTTTTTAGGGGACCCCAAATAGCCACAAAAACAAGGTGCTTTCTCGCCCGCTGGAAACAGCAAGTATGTTCAGTGATAGATTCCCACTTTAAAACCAGCAATGGAAACAATTAAAAGTTTTAGGACTATGGAAGGAAGTGGGCCCTCTTTGGTCATGTGATTATGCCCAACCTTTTCGGGGCCGTCATAAAGACACACACACACACGCAGTCATAAGGCAAATGGATGTATAACGACACGCGCACAAAGACACACCTCGTGAAACCTCCGGCCCCTCGTAAAATCGCTCGCGCGAGCCTCGCAGTGCTCAAAGCTCACCGCGCTCTGAAGCACCGACATGGAGCCGTAGACGTAAACTCCTCGGAGTCTTTCTCTCGTAGCCCGGCGTGGCAGGTTTGTTGCCACCAGGCAAACACCGGTTGGGATAAAATATAAGCAGCATTCCTTTTCCGGAGCTTCATTCTGCAAGTTGAGTTGCCATTATTTTAAAGGGGCCCCGGTCTTGACTCTCGACCCTCAACTCGTTGGGGGCAAACCAAGAGGCACACAAATTCCGAGGGCCAAATCGATCTGTCAAAATCCCAGCCGCGGCTTTTTGTTGGGGGGGCGGCCGGCGAAAGCGGTGGAGGCACACCAAAACAGTAAGATGGCGCCATCAAGATGGACCGCACATTTTGGCTCGGTTCCGATGTATTCAGTAAGGTCAAGTCTGCCATTACCAAATTAAGAAACCAAAAAAAATACTTGGACCCTCAAACTACCAAACAGAATGGGTATCGCCAGGCCATCAAATTTTGGGTTGCAACCCACCACCCACCCACCCACCCACCCACCCACCCACCCACCCACCCACCCACCCACCCACCCACCCACCCACCCCCACCCCCACCCACCCACCCACCCACCCACCCACCCACCCACCCACCCACCCACCCACCCACCCACCCACCCACCCACCCACCCACCCACCCACCCCCCCACCCACCCACCACCCACCCACCACCCACCCACACCCAGTTTGAGGGTTTTTGGTATGCGCAAGCGAGGCCGTCATGGCCGTCATGGTCCTGCGCCCTCCGACGCCCGGCAATGGTGAAACTGGAGCTGCGAGTCGTCCACCGAGAGGTTCCTAAGGCTCGAAATGGATGGAGCCAACCAGGGCTTGGGTTGGCTGGGGGGGGTTGTACTTAGAATCAAGCAGGGGGGCATTGTCAAGTGGAGGGGGGGGGGTTCTGTCAGGGTTATCAAGGAGGGGGAAGGGGGGGGGGTTGTACTTAGAATCAAGGCGGCGCGGGGTTGAAACATCTGGGGCAACCAACTTCCAGGAGCCAGGGCTTGGGTTGGGTAACCAAATCTGGGCTGCCCGTTTTCTGATCCCCCGCGAAAAGTGATACTCACTTTCAGTGGGTCAAATACGGAAACTACCACTAAACACTAAAAGGGATCTAAAAAGCTAAGGAACCGGATGGCTGGGAGCCACCCAGCCACCAAGAAATTCAAGGGGACCAGGGCTTGGGTTGAAACATGGTCCAGGGTTCTACTTTTTGACCGGCAAGACTTCAACCCAGGGGGTTCCTTTTTGGGGTACATGACCCACTGGGTCTAAGTCTATTTGAGGGTAAAAAAGTGGAACCCAGTCGTCTGCTTCCTTCTTTCCGGGCCCCAATCACCTTGGCCCTTAGAAAAAACCTCAACCTGGGCCTGTTGCTTTCTTAAAGCTAAGTCTAGCCACGGGACCATGTGATTCCAACTTTAAAACCACGGAATTCCATTGTTTGTTGGAATTAGCCATGGGAAATGATGGTTTCATGGAATTCCAGTGTTTGTTGGAATTTACAGGGCAATCATCATTCCAGGGTTTCTTAGGCGGTGCAGGGTTTCGTTCGTCCACAGCATGTCCAGTGACAGATCCCAACTTTAAAATCAAGGCAACATAGAAAAGATGTTCGTTTCAGCAAAGGGGGGCGTTGAACTCATGGATTAATTCCTCTGAAGCGGGCCCGCGTTTCACGGCAGAGTTTGCCTAAGGCTAGCCATGGGACCATTTCAACGACTCGAGGAAAGTTTCCGTGGAAGGGGCTGTTAGAAGCTCTGACTTATTTATTCCTTTCGAGGCTCCCTGTGTTTACTTGGGGACAAACTTCAGTATCCTTTCAGGCGGGAGCTCCCAAATAAGTCATTACTAAGTATCATTGTTCATTGCTCATGTGATTGGAGCAGGCAAAATTCATTGTTGTTTGCCCCAATACAACGGTCCAAGCCCAAAAAAGTCGACAGTCCATGCACTCAGGAAGTGAGGATTGCATTCATGGTTTGGAGGTCATGGGTGGTTTTCCCTCTACGAGAAGGGGTGAAGGTCTGGGCAGAGCAGTCCTAAGGTGACCAGATATTGGACTCATAAAAATCCCCTCCCCTGACTTCCTTTAATGGTCGTTTTCCTCGTGGTTTCCATTTCAATCGTCTCAAGAAACTCCTCTGAATTGGTCGTTTTCCTGCTGGAAACCGACCATTTTTCAGTTGCTTCAGTTGCCTCAAGCGACCTCGAGCTTCGAGTGTCGCAGCTTGCCCAATCCAGACTGGCCGGCCCTCCATTTCTTGAATGCCGACGAATTACCAGGTAGTTCCTAGTTGTATGTAGATAGTCGTGGTTTAGATTGGTGGGATTTGCATATTCGTTTCAGCTAATAGAAGCATTGAATTCATGGATTCCTCTGCAGCGGGCCGGCGTTTCATGGCAGAGTTTGCCTATGCGCGACGCAAGCAAACTGGCGCCAACATGTCGAGTCACCCTGGGCTGCCCGTTGTCTGATCCCCCACTAACAGTGACTAACTTTTAGTGGGTCAAATGCGGAAACTACCGCTAAACACTAAAAGGATCTAAGAAGCTAAGGAACCGGATGGCTGGGAGCCACCAAGCACCAAATCACTAAGTAAGATCCATCAACTGCAAGAACGTTTCCCCGCAACCCCAATCCACCGAATGCCGGGACTCCAACATGTCTGGACTCTCCAGATACGCTAGAAAATGGGGAATCTCCCCCGCAATGTTGGGGCAATCTCAGTTTTTTGTTCTTGTACCTGGAGTCTCCATGTCCCTTCAAACATGGCTGGCCATGACCTCTCTATTTTATGCTCAACCATTCTTCAAGGGTAAAAAGGAGACTCCAGGTAGTTTGAGGCTCCATCTGGACATATTTGTTCACTTTCACTCTTTTCGGGTGAAAAAGCCCCTTCCACGGAAACTTTCCTTGAGTCGGTGAAATGGTCCCATGGCTAGACTTAGGCAAACTCTGCCGCCTCCATTTGCTGAAATTAACATGTTTTCTATTTTCCCTTGTTGGTTCTAAAGTTGGAATCTGGTGAAATGGTCCCATGGCTAGACTTAGCTTTAAACAAAAAATTACTCGGGTTGAGGTTGTTTCTAGTGGCCAAGGTTGGAATCCATTATTATACACCTGAACATTGCCTTGTAAATGGTGGGTTCCCTTAATTTTGGTGTTGAAAAGCCATGTTTCAAATTGGCAAAACGTATCTTTTAAGGAGCACTGCTAAATGCCAAGTGTCCCGCCCAAGGCCAGCGCGCCCCCCACCTCTGCTTGGCAGTGCTGGAAGGACACGTTGCTCCGCCGGAAGCCGAGGCTGCGCTCCACGTACAACCCGCCTGACTGGGTGGATTGAAATTCGGAAAGGAACCCCGGCCATTTTGGGGCTAGGTCCTCCAGATTTGAGAGGTTAGGGTTTAGGGTACCAACTTCTTTTTCTGTAGTCTATTGTAGTAGGGGGGTTCCCTCCCCCAAAAAAAACAAAAGGGCACTACCGGGTCCCGCCATTTTGGGTGTCTCCCTGTTCCTGGTTTGACAAGAATGTGGCCGGTCCACCCTTCTTACATGAGTTGGGAATTCGAGAAAAACCATCCCACTGCGGGTGTCCTTTCTTCGGGAATCTCCAGGTGAATTCCCGAAACCCGGAAGGGGAAGGTCAAATTTCCTACTGAGCACCAGCAAGAAAGGGAAACCTTTTGACAAGAATATGATGGCCGTCTTTTTCGAGGGACCCAGGCGTTTGAGGGTTTTGCTGGCTAGGGAAATCAAAAGGAACCACCCTTTGGGGTTTGACACAAAGACATTTGCCGCAAATAAAGGAACCCTCCAGTGTGGGACCTTCATGGGCAGCTCGTTTTACCAGAAGCTGAGCTCATGTTTTTTTTGATGCCCGTGGTACTCATGGACCTCCAGGTCTTTTGGGGAGGGTGGGGGGGAGCAATCCCCATGTTCAATGAGGCCAAGGACCCCAGGCCATCCAGCGATAGGGCGCGCTTGGCCCCTCTTGGTAGAGCGAACAGGTTGAGTGCCGTCCAACAGACCTTCTAACTTGGTCAGTTACAGGCGATGGTCATGGATTCTAGATGGAAATCAGACAGCCATGATACTGGTCAAAGTGGACATGTTGAGAAGTACTCAAGAGCACTTGTGTGTTTGTTTCCCTGCCACACCACCATTTCAAGGGTAACTGTGGAGGATGTCGCTTCAATGAAAGCCGTGACGAAATGCTTTGACGACAATGGCGCCATTTGGCAGTGCATCTTTCTGAGGTTGATGTTACATGTCTGGAGTTGGCTTTGAGGGCAAAGGAAACCAGCGAAGAAGGGTTCCATTTTGGAGCTAGAGGACAGGGGGAATCTGTTGAAAAGCGAGTCGAGCGCAAAGAATCCCTTTGCAGAACTCAGAATTTGAGATGAACCACAAGGGCTCAAAGGAGAGTAAAACTTGGGGTTCTCAGTGGAAATGGCTTAGCAAAGCCCAGCCATTGACAATTCTGATAGCAGGCCTTGCCAAGCTGCTCAAAGTGCCACTGAACATTTGCCTGTGGCCCCTCAAAGTCACAGCAAAAGTGGATCAGTCCAGGTCCTATTTACATTTCCCAAGCGGGCATGCGGCAAAATGTGTGCAGGATGCACAAGGTCCCGCACCCGGAAAGAAAAAACACAAGACCACATCCTTGCTCGCAAGCGGGAAGCAAGATTCGTGGGAATGTCAACCGCTAGTCAACTTAGCTGATGCTTGAAGACCCATTGCGTGAATTGCTCATTCGCCGGTTCTTTGGTCAAAATCGGCGGTCGTAGACCGCCGATTTTGACCCCTAATCTCAACTTGCGGAGTTGAGGGGAAGTTACGGGATCGAAGCAACGGCGTCCTTTGGGAGAAGTCTAGGTCCTCCAGATTTGAGAGGTTAGAATAAGGGCACCAACTTTTTCTGGACGTCTATTTTAGTAGGGGAACCCTCCCCCAAAAAAACGGGAAAAAAGGGGCACCAAGCTGGGGGACCTAGAAGTAGATGCCCATTCAGCTTGACGAAGCAAACTATTAGGTGAGTCCATCTTTCAAGCGAAAGACCCTGAAACGGACTCCTATGGCGCTATGGGAGCCTATGACCTTTGGGTGATCAAAGCCAGAAATTGTTTCCCTACCGGAGGTTGGTGTTTTTACCGTAAAATCATGTAAACAAATGGGGCCATGATGCCAAATGCTCGTTGGTCTAAGCTACTGCCTTCTTGCTCCCCGGAAAATTCACACCCCAAACCGAGATTCCTCTACACATGGGTGTTCTGCCCCCAACAGCTGAAAGCTCTGGGTCTCTGCCCAGATAGGCTCCGGGGTGGTTTGGGCAGCTTTCAGAGAGGGTTGCGGAGTTCCGGAGCTGTTTGGGGGTACCATTTGGGCTTATTGTTGGTTCCATATTCCCTGGGGTTCAAAACCATCACTAAAACCATGCAGGTCAATATAACCACCATTCAATATAACCACCATTCTTTACCAAAAAAAAGCTCATCCTCCAAGTTGGGTCAACTTGCCATTCTTGTACAGTGTTTTGAACCATTTTCGTATTGAAATCACATCGCTACCAACACCCGCTCTATTCTTTTTCTGGGGGCAATGGCCCAGGGAAAACAAGGGCATCTTTTTGTTGGTTGGTTGCGTTTAAAGGGAACCCTTCCCCCCCAAAGAAAACACTCGAGAAACAATGAAAAACCAACCTACTGGGCCACTGGGTCAGTGCCTCCCCGCGGTCCGACTTTTTTCAGGACGGCTATTTTAAGAAAACCCTCCCAACCCAAAAAAAGAAACGGTAAAAGAAAGGGCACCGAGCTGTGGGACCTACTCAACTGGACTCGCCGTCTGCCGCAAACGGTTCCCGGGCCCCCGCCTCCGTCTTCCGTGGCCAGGCTGCCGCAGTGCACGAACTTCGCCTCCGCGTCCTCGAAGAACGCGTGGCCCTCAGCCACGGGGACGGTGTGTTTTTTTCTTCCAGCGCAAAACAGAAGGCGAGGTGCGCGCGGGTCTGTTCTTGGGGCCCCAAAAATAAGGACACCACCAGTTGATGGAATGGTTGTTTTCTTGATTGATTGTCTTTCTTTTTTTTTTGGGGGGGGGGGAGCCACCATTTTAAGACACGCTGCGGACATAAAATAATGTGCCGCGCCCTAGTTTAATCAGGGAATCATCTATGTCAAATGTGTTTCCTGCAAGACCCAGCATCCACAAGAGAAACCGGTTTTCTCTGCCGATGTTGGGTGTGTTGCATAGCTCTTGCTGCATGTCCCTACTTGTGCAGAGCTGTCTGGCAGCGAGATTCATGCAGAATTCTGTCGTCCATCAGGGGACACCGGATTTCATCTTCAGAAGTTGCGACTTATTGGTGGGTTCTCAAAAACTAGGAAACTGCCACTTTTGTAGGTAAAGCGAATTCAGGGAGCCCTGACAGATGTTAGTTGCAGGAACTGCGCAGGGTCCTCTAAAGAATCTAAACACACTTTGGAGAACTTTGACAAACACTCAGAGGCAACTTAGTTTTGAGGCACGACTCCCTTCAAGCGAAATGACAAGCTTTTGTGAGAGGTGCCAGTGCCCCAAGCACAGGTTCCTTCAAACTGGGCACCACATCTGGGACAGGTATAAACTTCCGAACATGTGAGTTGGACTACTGGAAAATGTCTGGAGTCTCCCTGCAGGTGCAACGGTTGAGACTCAAAACCACGCCCGGTGCTTGCGCTGGAGACTTCCTTCTGGACAAAATCCGCTTCCCAGCAGTTGGCGTGCGAATCCGAACTGGTGCGAAGCGGATTTCGTCCATCCAGTAACCTAGGCTGGAAAAATCGGACCCCGGCCAAAAATCATCTTTTTCCCCTGGTTCGTGGACAGCAAAGGGAACCCCAAGAAAAGCGAGAAAAGAAAAGGGGAGCGAATTCTGGGGGAGTCACTTGGCCGCGCGGGCCTGTCCGCTTACCCCGGCCTCCACGTCGACGCAGCGGTCCTGTCCTTCCCGGTGCCCCACCTCAGCACAAGCCCAGAACAGTCGGTCTCATGGCTTTGCAGGCGCAAGGCTCAGACAAAACAGTTTCTTCTTGGAAACCCAACATCGGCTTCTCTACTGGGTCCTCCAGATTTGAGAGGTTAGAATAAGCGTATAGATGTTTTTTCGGTAGTCTATTTTGGGCCTCCCCCAAAAAACGGTAAAAAAGGGCACCAAGCTGGGGGACCTAGTTGCCCTTGAGGGATTTAAACGTTTCCTCCTAGTGTGCGAGCGCAGTCCACAGACCGCAAGGCTCAGCCAAACATCTCAGGGCTCCGAGTCTCCGACTGATTTCTTCCAGCGCAGTGGAACAAGACTCAAGACAGTGATTCGGTCGTGGCCGGAAGGGAGGGCTTCTGAACAGGGCTGTGGGGAATGACTACTTCTGTGATACCACAGAAAGGGCTTCCCAAAGGCTATTTTCATATAAAATAAAATTCCCTTGTATCACAGAAGTGGATGGAGAAACCCCGAGTACTCCCACCCTGCTTCTGAAGGTAGCCCAATACAAGGCGATCACCTTCTTGGGGCCGTGGCTCAACTAACTTGTGGCTTTTTGGTCTTTGCGACTCGCTCAGTGCAACTCCGTGCGCCGCGTTGCTTTTTTTGGGGGGGGGAGGGGGGGCCAAATGGGTCATGACCTAAAAAACATGGGGTCATGGCCGCATGTTTGAAGGGTCATGGAGACTCCAGGTAGTAACCAAGTGGCAAACAACCGTCAATTCGCTTTGGTTCTGGGGGTAACTTCCCCATTCTTTCCAAGGATCCGGATCTTTCTAGCAAACCACCAAAGACCCTGAACAAATGGCAATCGTTCTTTGAAAAAGGAACGATGGACGATGGCCGAAAAAGGAATTTTCGGGCTCTGGAACCCTTTTAAAGGGAAACCAAGAAATAGGCTGCTGAAACTTCAGTGGCCATGGGTTGCATAACCTATGGCGAGCCAATTTGAGGTGGATGAACATCAAATATTTGCCACCTATTTTGATGTTCACCAGAGGGTTTTGACGGGTTGATTCCAATTCCATTCCGACAAAACGATCAATTCGCTGTGGTCGCAAGTCAGCAGTCTGTTAACCCCTTGATCCCAAAACATCTGCCAGCGAGTGCTCGTCTCCGGCTCTCCGGCGCAAGAGACCGGGGCTGAGGCCCCGATGAATCGGAAGCGGCCGAGGAAGGAGACGTTGCCCAGGAAGTGGAGCGACTTCTCTAGCCTGTTGCTTGTTGTTGGGTTTTTTGGAGGCTTGGGAAGCTTTAAAGCAACAGGTGAATCTTTCTTCCTTTTTTTGGTGGGGGGAAGGCGGGGGGGGGGGGGTGTTGGGTAGTTGAGAAGCGTCGTTTCTCGCAACAGGGTGTATGCTATGCGGGCTTGCTTCTTTGCTTTCTCTTTTTTTTTGGGGGGGGGAGGGGGGGGTTGAGGGCATTGGACATGTTGCCAGGGTTCCGGATGGTTTTTCGTTGAGAAAACTAGGGGCCCCAGCAGCTTCTAAATTGAACCCCCACAAACGTCTCTATCAAACCTCAACCCAAGAATAATTGATGAACACCGGTCGAAAGACGAAGCCAAATTGAATAAACAAATCCCTCGATCGTTGTGTTTGTTGTTTCCTCAGGGAGAAAAACAACCCCCCCCCCAAAAAAAAAAAAACGGAAAAGGCTTAATATCAAAGGGACTTAGGATTCCGCTGAGATATTTGAGAATACTGGGCCTGCGAGAAGAAAACGACTTGCTTCTTCACTGACCACTTTTTTCTCCCAGTGGATCCATCTATTGAACACCCTAAACGAACAAAGGACGATGGCCACGTTCCGTTATCATAAGATGGCACGGGTCGAGTCCTTGGAGTTGGCAAGAAACAACAAAGCACCCAAGATCTGGGTGGATGCACTCAGTCCAACCCCCAACAAAACGAAAGTGCTACCCCAAAACGAAACTCTCAGCCCAAAACAACTCAACCGCTCCAATCAACCTGAGTAATCATGCCGGAAATCCAATTATTTCCGAGAACCCCACTGGATAAAAAAAACAAAACAACAACACAAAATGGGTCTCATCCATTCGCCATCGGCTAGTCCAAGGCGCAAGATCACCGCATCCTCGCCGTGAACGATGCAATGCTCCTCGACGAGGAGCTGAGATGCCACCTAGGCCAAAATGTCATAGGCTGATTGGATTTCGGTCCGTTTTTGCATTGGTGTTCCCACAAAGGAAAGGTACCGAAGAAGAATACGTAGCCATAGTGCTTCCAGGAGGACCTCTCAATTTTGCTTTGCTTAGATAAAGGTGTGTGTTTTTGAGGGTACCTCTTTCCTTTAATGGCTTTACATAAAGAGAAACCAGCAGGAAAACAACCTTTTCTGGTCTGTTCCTTTTTGTTTTTGTGGGGGGTGAAACCCACAGGCAAGCCGCAATTGTTTTGGGGGGTTCCTGAAAAAGAACCACCTAGCCTAGCACACAGCCACTCCTTTCCCAAATTTTCGCGCCTTGTACTCCCCCCTGAGGTGCACGGAGCCGCCTTTGCCTCAGGTCGAGTCTGGCGCCCGCAGTTTCCAGTAACCCCCAATCCCATTTGAGTCATAAGTCTGGATAGCTTGTGGATCCAATTCGGCAAATCCCAAAGAGTCAACCAAAAAGTGGTCCTTCAGTCCAAAGATCCAAGCTGAAAGACCCTTATGTGAGTCATAATCAAAACCCGGTATCAAAATGGTCGACCCAGAACCATGCTTCCAGAATTAACAAAGGCGGATTTCCGAAGCTATTTCTGGCTGGGAGTATGCCGTACTAACCTCCACCTACCCGGATTGTGGCTCAAATTTGGGGACGCTACCAGGCTACCAGGAGTTTCACCATCACTCCAAAAGAAAGCTTGCCTAAAGTGGGGGGCTGTGCGTTTTCAGACCCCCTGGTAAAAGAGACTAACTTTCAGAAACCCAGCCGCTAAACCAACCAAGAATCTAAAAGCCGCAAAGCGCTTGTGTAAAACGTAGAGACGTAGAGTTCAAACAAACTCCTGGCGACCTAGTGGCAACTGCGACTGGCAATTTCAGGTTCCGAGTCGCAGCCAGGGAAGGCGTGCTCATTCACCCGCGCCGCGGAAGACAGCGCGAAAAGGGCGCAGAACGCGAGCATTTCGCGCTCTGTAGCCCAGAGTCCCCAAACGACGACATGGCTGAGCCGAGCTCTGCGAATTCGGCGAAGTCGGAATTGGACTCGTTTGGTCAACGGGTACCGCGCAAACATTTCCCAATCCTAGTGTTGGTCGAGTTTAGTCCCCGAAGACGTCTGTTGTGCGGTGAAAGCCACAGTTTCAGTCCTTGGGGAAAGTTTCAACTTGTGAGGACAAGCGGGACCCGGCGAATGATATACCTACACCCTGAAACTTGATCAACGGCTTACGTAAGGGTTTGAGGGTCCACAAATTGCACGGCAAAACTTGGGGCCCTGCAACCGCTTGGTTCCACGATGTTTCTCTCCCCCCAAATAAAAGCAAATGAGAAATACTACAACAGCCTGAATAATTTGAATGGGGATAGTGACCTGAACACCAAATGCACAGACTATAAGAGAATCATGTCTGGAATTGCTTAACTATTTGGGTGTGTCTTTTTTGATGGTACATTATTTTGCGAGGAAAACCACACCGATTTTCAGGATCCCCTATTTTGTGACAACTTCATTTGGCCCCTACCCAAATCGCCACGCCAGACTTTCATTTGCGCGCTACCCAAATTTTGGAGTCGCTTTCTTTTCGCGGTCTCAGCGCCGGGTGCAAGACACCTGGCCGGGGGCATTGGGGCCCAAGTTGCATCCCGAGAGTGGAAGTCTTGGGGAACCCCTTACACCAGCCAAGGAGTGCTTTCAAGTTTCCCCCTCCCATTTCCAGTTCCGGAATCCCCAGCTCAGCGCAGCTTCCCTTGTACAAAGCCTTGTGAGCATTGATTCGTGCCAAGAGGGTGTCGGCCCCTGAAGTCGAGAATTTTCCCCGGGCGCTTCCTTTGTTGAGGGTGCCTCCCACAAAATGCTGCAGCCAGCTTTGCCTTTTGTTGAGGGGGGGGTTCCAGGCTCCAAGTTTTCCAGGTATTCACCAGGCACCATGATCACTTGACTGCAAACCCGCCCGCCTACCACATCGTCTGCTCCAGCCCGGCGATCAGCTCATCTTTTCGCCCTCGATCACCTGTACTTCCTGGCTGACTTGACCACAATTCATGCGGACATCACGGACAGAGGCGGCTTCACTCCAAAGCAGGAAAGGTCCGGGTGTTGGTCATGGCATGCGTTTGTGGGACCGAGCGCTTCACCAAAGACCCCACGGGTATCATAGCATCACGGGACAATTGTGGCCAAAGATGTTTGTCACAATGTTCACGGATGGTTGCAGCTTTTTCACGGATGCTCACGGTCGCATTCCGGATTGTTGCGGCCTTTGCGCGCATGTTCACGGTCAGATGTTGCTCGCGGGATTTTTTGGTGGCCGCGTGGAATTCTTGAGTCGTTTGGCCTAAACAACCTGCTGAGTGGGTGTTAGCCAGGAACATTTTGCAGTTATGGAGCATCAATCACTCTTTTCCAAGAATCATGGAAGTGGACGTTTTGCGGGCTCCCCAAAAGGAGGGCAGTCTCCAGCAAATGCATGGGCCGCTCTAGGTTCTTCAATTGGAACCCCTCCTTGACAGGAAAAAGAGATCAACTTGAGATTCCGGAAGCTTGAGAACCCATTTGGAGCTGCAATCATCCCGATGGAGGCCCACCCAAAAAACTTGGCTGGAATTTGGACCCCAGCAAAACATATATATGTTTTGCCGATGGAGGCCCACCCAAAAAACTTGGCTGGAATTTGGACCCCAGCAAACATATATATATTTTGCCTGGTTAGTGGAAAACAAAGGGGACCCCAAAAAAGCAAAAAAGGAAAAGGGGAACAAATTCTGGGGAAGAAAAGAGACACCTCATCCTGCAAATCTGATAATTCGGGGCCCACCCAAACTCGATACCCTCATAAAATATTGACCGTTGCTCATTTGAAGTCCAAAAGCCTGCCATGGAAGATACCCCAACTCAAGCCCCTGTTGGCGCTACATGAATACAAGGCCCCCATGGTGGTAGAAACAAAGATCTGTCTGTGAGACCGACATGGGATTCCCCTCCCCATAACTCGACAACCTTCCGCCATGGAAAGACCCCAAAGAATCGCAGAAAGGGGGCAACCTAAAGCCCGGGATTGAAAAGCGAGCATTTGCACTGCACTGATTCTCACACTAAGGACACTCCGAGAAAGGCACCATAGGGCCCGGACCAAACAGTGATCCAATTCAGGAAATCTTACCCACAGGAAACACCGACCCCAAGGTAAACCTAGAGGTGGTTGATCTCCCCTTCTTGGGGAACCCCTGGGTTTAAACCTACTTCAAGGCAATCAAAAGATGGAACATTGCTTACCTCCTCCCAAGTTAGGCATGGTTTAACCCTAGGTCCTCCAGTAGAGAGTTTAGAACAAAGGTACCCTTTTTTACGTAGTCTATTTTAGTAGGGGAACCCTCCCCCAACAAAGGGTCAACGGGCTACTGGGGGACCTGGAACCCACTGCAGTTTCAGCCACCTCTTTCTTGATTTCCCTTTGAAGGGTTCCAGAGCCCGAAGCTCGATGCCACCAACCTCCTTCTCGTTTCCTGAGCAGATTGGCTAAACAAAAACTCCCAAAACTTCTTCTTTACCAAACATGATCCAACCCAACAACAGTGCGAGAAAAGTCCAGAACATCGAAGTGAGTGAGACAATGGTGGTCGTCCTTCTGGCTTCCGAATCCTTTCAAACCCATCCAAGGGGGAACCTCACAAAACACGTCCCACCCCAAATTGTTCAGTACAGAAACTCAGGGAGTTGTAGTTTCCGCACCGTTTCTGGGTGAACTACAATATTTCACCAGCCTGAAATAAGATGGTTGCGGGGGCTACTCCCCGCATAAACTTTTTCATTTGGGGTGAAATCGGTCGTGTGAGGTCGTTATAATTCACCCGGATAGCTTCCCTTCAAACCAACCCGGCGGTGTCCTGCCCCCGCCTTGACCTCGTCAGCGAACATTTCCCGCACCTCCCTGATCAGCGCCAGCGTGATCCGCAGCGACATCACCAGAGCGGGGCCTGTGAGAGGCGGCCCAGACTGAGGCCCAAAGACATGGCTGCGGGTCAAAATTCACCCACTGGAGCGCAGGTTTTAGTCCTTGGTTCCATTTACCAGGGCTCCGTTTTGGGTACCTATTTTTGACTCACAGCCACATTCGAGGCGTTGGGGAAACAAGGACACATCCTTAGCTTTGAGCTAAACATGGGGATTTCCACCTGAGCTTGGAGGTGCATCAAAAACATACCCTAGATGGTTCTCACGACACTCATCTGCGAAGTCTGGTTCGCACCGTTCAGAAACCATGGTTGAAGCAATAGTCCAAGGAAATCGAGCCAGAAACCATGGTTTGCGAAAGGTGGTGCGACATGGAATTCACAGTAGCACCACAAAAAGACATCGCACCCAATTTGGCCGAAAGGCCCAGAAAGGCGATATGGGGTGGTGCAGCATTCAGGCTACAAAAGGAAGGTTCCAGAGTCTCCACTTTGGCTTAAAGAAAAAACAGGTTTCCGGGAATTGTCTCTGGGCACAAACAAAACCGAGGTGAAGTGCGTCCTTTGTTCAAGGGGCCTGCTAGAATAGTAGGTGTTCCTTTGGATGCCAGTTTGAGGGTCGATTTGCTTGTTAGGGTTGTGTTAGAGAAGCATTGCGCCCATTCTTGTTCTCTTGCAGCCACAGTCTGGGCTGCTCCAGGTAGCTTTCGCTTACAGGGCAGATGGACCCGCGGAATGCAGGCTTGAGAAGCTGCTTCACATCCCTACTCTTGGTATGGTAGCAAAAAACTTTGTTTTTTGCAGACCCCCAGTAAAAATGAACAGAGCCAAAAAAAAAACAAAAAAACTAAAACACATGCCAATAACAGTGATGATTCATGTTGCTTCGGTTTTTGGAACCTCAACTGGCTGCTGATTGTTCAGGGGCTACTGCCCAACGAGACACTGTGATAGCCCCGGCGTGTGAAGCCCACCCCATTTTCACTTGAGTCACTCGTTCTTACTCATGCTGGCTCACTCAATCTCAACCGTACTCACATCCGCTCACTCAGTCCGGCTTACTCTTGCTCACCTCAAGCATTCCCAGTCTCACTCATTTCTCGCTGAACTTCCTCCTCACCTCCCCTCTTCCCCTCCTCCCCTCCTCCCCTCCTCCCCTCCTCCCCTCCTCCCTCTCCCCTCCTCCCCTCCTCCTCCCCTCCTCCCCTCCTCCTCCATCCTCCCCTCCTCCCCTCCTCCCTCTCTCCCCTCCTCCCCCCCTCCTCCCCTCCTCCCTCCTCCCCTCCTCCTCCCTCCCCTCCCTCCCCTCCCTCCCTCCCCTCCCTCCCTCCCCTCCCTCCCTCCCTCCCTCCCTCCCTCCCTCCCTCCCTCCCTCCCTCCCTCCCTCCCTCCCTCCCTCCCTCCCTCCCTCCCTCCCTCCCTCCCTCCCCTCCCTGATGTAGAGAGTGTTCTTATAAGCGCTCAAGGCGCAAGCAAAGATCAAGTCTCAAGGCATTTTCAGGCCCTGGTTTTGGAGGCTCAGGTACGGAAGTTACACGCCACTTTTGAAACTAGTACGTACTTCCCAACCAGCTTGCTTTTTAGCTTAATATATTTTATATGTATGTTACATTAATAACTATGTAGACGCACCGGACACAAACTCAAGCCCTTTCGCCGAGAATTGCCTTAGTTACAGTTGCTTGACCCTTGAAATTTTTGGCAGCTGGAACCAGCTGGCGTCTTGAAATGTCGTAGTTGCTTCGGCCCCTGGCACCACAACTGGCTGCTGATTGCGGGGCTACTGCTGCTCAACCAGACTCTGTGAAGCATAGCCGGACGGGCGGGAGAAACACCATAAGCTGTCATCAGGTACTTTTCCTCATCATTTGCGCCATTCTCAACATTCAGCACTTGACATCTCTTCCACTTCTATTTGCTTGTTCGTCCCCTGAAAAAAAGAGAGAAGAACAACAATAACACGTTTTACAGTGGTGACAGATTACCTGCAACACCAACAAAGAGAAAATGACAAAATAACACGTTCTAGCGTGGAAGGCTAAGCGATTTGGGCGCCACGGTGGAGCCTGATGGTTGTCTGGCGACCAGCCGGATCGAGCCCAAAGAAAACCGCGGGGTCTGTTGGCCCCATTAGGCAAAAACGACATCGTGCGCATAGGTGTCCTTTTAGGGGAAATAGATGGCCCTGGTGGATGATTAAACCACCAGGTAAACCAGGGCCATCTATTTTCGAGCAAAACAGCCAAAAAGGACACCTATGATAGTGAGTGTGCTTTTGAAAGTACACCTTTCTTGCTGTGCGTTGGTTGGGCAAAGGAAAAGGAACACCGAATTCTGAAGCCGCTTTGGAAGACACACCCATAGCTTCTGCTTCATCCGTCAACCCCATATATAAACTTTGGAGACCCGAGGTTTCGGGCGTCAAGAAAGGCAAGCAATAGGGAGCCACCAAGCACTAGTCGTGGGCATAAAACAATTGCACGGCAAACCCTACAAAAAACAAAGAAAAGACACGAGAACAAGGTGCGTTTCCTTTTGGCTGCCCATCCGCTATTTTTGTTTTTTGCAGCCCATTAAAAACACGACAGAACACCCAAAAAGTCCGCAATATATATATATATATATATATATATATATGTGTATATCTATATATGAACAAACAAAACTTGATGCAAGAACGAGGCCCCGAACGAGGCCTAGCGCCAGCACCACGATCACCAGCAAGGTGAAGTTCTGACTCGCCTCGGACCTCGCCCAATCCGTTTCCTCGGGCCAGGGCGCGCGCTCGCTCCTCGCTCGCACGCGCGGATCCGAGCGGCTGGCTGCAAGGCTGGTGGGCGAATTGTTGTGTTTCTTGGGCTTGTTGGCTGCCTTTAAATGCTTTGGTTTTTGATTGGCCCGTTGGCTTCGGCCGCTTTTCTGGGGCGCCATTTGGCTCCTTGTTTTGTGCGCCAGCCCGGTGACTCGCTCGCGACCCAGTGCCCCGAGCTCCAGACATGGGCTCCAAAAGGGAGGGCCAGGCCGATGAAAACCCATTGGTAGTAGAAGGGGTGCATAGAAAAATGTTGTTTTGCAGCTCCTTTGTTTTGCAACACACTGGTAAATGTCCTGCTTTGCGGCATGTCAGAGGCTGCCGGGAAAACCAAGCCGCGAGAAACCAGAAAACACCTGGTGGGAGGTTGCCGCTATTTGTGACCATCCAAGTTGGTTGGGGGGAGGGGGGAAAAGATAAATTAGGACAAGACCACCTGAAGGCTCCAACAAGTTCAGCTCCGGAGGGCCGGATGCATTGCAGCGCCCCGCGGCGCGATTGGAGGGAACCCTGAGCCTTTGGCCTTGTGTCTTTCGGGCAAAGGACGGGGTCTGAGTGCATTGCCCATCTTGCGGCTCTTGAGCCATCCAAACACATTTGTATTTAGCTTGGTGGCTGTAACGACCCCTCTGCCAAACAACTTGTCTCACTTTCGGTGGGCCCAGAAAGGGAAAATCCGACCTGTTTCAACCAAGTCATTCGGAAGATCCGTTAACGAGTCAAGTTAGCCCCTGGGTCCCCGAGCCGAGCGAGGGGCTTCTGAAATGAAGACAAAAAGAGGTGCGGTGCTTGGTTAATGGTCTTAAAAGTTGAAAGCTGAGTCACCCCGGGCTCTCAAAACTTTCAGATCTGCTCAAAATGAGGCACTGTTAGGGGGCGAAATACGGACGCCCAACCACAAAACCGACAAAAAGCGGCGACAAAGCTAAGGAACCAGACAGCTGTGCCGAAACCGCCAAGCGACGTGGACCCTCAACTGCAGCGAAGTAGTGCCCCGTTTGCTGTGCCGACTTCTCATAGTTTCAGGTAGGTTCAACCCAAGGCTCTCATGTTTTATTATTACTATTATCATTATCATGATCATTTTAAATTTGTTATTACTATCATCATTATTATTCTTATTATGTCATTGTGTTGCTATGCGTTTGTTGGTTTTACCAAAAATGATTCTGTTTTTGTTTGGGTTAAGAGTGTTTGTTTGTGTTAAACTGGTCCTATCCAACGCAGGCAGCGGTTCCGAGACTTGTTCAGTTCAAGCAGGGCTGCATTGGCGTGGAAGCAAGACGTGGCCGTCACCATCAAGAGGGCCAACACCAGCAGGATCTCCTCTGTGAGGTTCCAGTCCTGGCTCCGCCCCCCCTGGCCCCCTCCGGGGAACTACAAAGCCTTCCAAAGGAAACACAAACCCCATGTGGCCGTGGTTGTCAAAACCGTTTTGGGATCCCATTTTGGTCGGGACTGGTGAATTGACCCATTTTAGAACCTATTTTAGTGGTTGGATTGGGATGTTCACTGGTATGGGATTTTGACCCATGGCCATGTTGGGCCTCTATCTTGAGAGGTGACCAAACAGGTTCAACAGTTCAACCCGCTGCAGGAGACGCCTGGTCCAACATCCATCCTTCAACGCCCTGAACATCGAGCTTGCAAACCTTGAGCGAGTCATGATCAAAACCGATTGGTATTAAAATGGTCGACCCAGAACCATGCAACGACTTGAAAAGGCGGCTGTACCCGTTTATGGTTGGGACTATCCCTCGCTAACCTTCATCTACCCTAAGTTGAGGCCAGACAGCACCCGGTCGCTGACACTTGAAAATCTAACTTCTCAGTAATATGCCTCTGATGTTCCGATTTGACGGACGCCTAAACTCCGGCTGCGTAAAGAGGTGCTTTGATTGGAGCAAACCGTACAGCTATACCGCGAAAGCAAGCATGAGCTTCCCAAATAAAACCGCAAGTCACATGCCGCTCAACAACATGAACAAAACCAACTTAAAATTTGTCAGCGAACCTGCTAAGCCAGCTAAGCTCTTTTCTTCACCGAACCTGAAAAGAGCTCCCCATACAATGCACTCAGGGACATCGCCGTGCCTTGGACACGTAAGGGTCAGTGCGTAGGGTGGCCACCAAGGCAGCAATCAGGATCAACGTGATGAATTCCATCTGCATGGCGGGGTAAAGCCTCGGTGTTCGCGGGAGCACACAGGGGCCGTGGTTCTCACCAGAACCTTTTCTGGGTGTGCCTGTTCTTTTAGGGGACCCCCCAAAACGGTGGTGGGTTCTCCTGTAAAACCACAAAAAACATGTGTGTAGTGCTTTTTTCCTCTATGAGGAGATCCCCGACCATCCCGAGTAACTTGCCGATGCGGTAGGTAGGGAATGTGGGAACGACCCCAGGCTTTGTTCCCCGACACCACCCGTTGAGTGGTTGATCTCGGGGCCATTCCATTTCTCAGGACCCCTGCATCATCTCTCGCACCGGCAACATGACACACCGAGGGTCCCATTGACCCTCTAAACACTTTCCAAGTAAATCTGATCTTACTTTATATGTTCAGTCCGAACACAAATGATACATGTGCCAGCTTTGTCAAAATCAAATCCATCACAAATCCAAACCATAGGGGCTAAACTGCGGTTGACCCCACAAGCACGGCTTCTCCCGCAAACCGATGTGAAGCTTGCCTCCGATCGAGTGAAGACAAGTGAACTGCTTGCTTTTACCACTGAGGTGGTCTTCCCTCCCCCCAAAAACAAAGCTTCATTTATTTGTGTTAAACACGAAACTAAAAACGTTCCAGGAACTCGGACAGTTGTGGAACATAAGCAAACTAGCCATATACCAAAGTGGAGTTGCCATCCCAATGACTTCTTTCGAACATGCTTCAGCGCGCTCCCTTGGTATCACAAACAGGCGGCGGCCTGACTGGGCTGGGCTGTCCGTTTTCAGAACCCCCACTAAAAGTGACAGACTTTTAGTAGGTGAAATACTGACACCCAACCGCCAAACCAACTAAAAAACTAAAAAGCTGAACAGCCAACGAACCGGATGACTGGGAGCCAGCAAGCAACAGTGTTGACCCCTCTGCCAAAAGTCTGGATAACTTGAGGATCCAATGCGGGAAAGTCCCACCAAAGTTTCAACCAGAAAGTTTTCAAAGTCCAAAGATCAAAGCTGCAAGCCTCATGTGAGTCATAATCAAAACCCGGTATTTAAATGGTCGACCCAGAACCATGCTTCAAGAATTAAAGAAGGCGGATTTCCGCAGCCATTTCTGGCCAGGGGATTGTCCCTTACTAACCTTCATCAATCCCCGAGTTTTGATTGTGGCTCACTTGTTGGTTGCTTCAATGGTCCAACCCCCCAGGGATTTCCAACCCCCACAAAAAATCCCACCAAAGTTTCAACCCAAAAAGTGGTCCTTCAGTCCAAAGATCCAAGCTAAAACCCTCATGTGGCTGTGGGTCAAAAATAGGTACCCCAAATGGAACCCTGGTAAGTGGCAACATGGACCAAAACCTGCGGTCCGATTCCTGGTGGTTGAATTTTGATCCACACCCATGTGCCCGGACGACCCTCAACACCTCCGCCGGACGGCGTGGAGGGCCACACGGCGGAGACCAGCAAGATCAACATCTTCCGCGCCAGCACCGTGACCTGCGCGTTCTTGCCGGCCAATTCTTCACGTGCGGCGGGTGAGAACGGGGCCCCTTACCCCACATACCCGGGTCTTTCAGTTGGTTTTTTGTTGTGGAACACCGGGTTTTCCGCGGGAAGTACCTCCTTTGTTAGTAGAGGGTCGACATCATACCCTGAAAAATGGCCGGGTTTTTGGAGTAGGTGCTTTCTTGATTTGGTTTCAACAGGAAATGGTTTGTATGTATGTATGTATGCATGCATGCATGCATGTTTGTAATGTAAATCCCAAACCACAAATTCAAATCACCAATTCAGGGTTTCATTAAACCGTTTGCCCAACGCGTACCTAAGAAAGAAACAAGGGCTCTCACCTGCTCTCGGTTCGTGACTTGTGCGCCATTGCTTCATACCTTGTCTTTTTCCGGGCTTCATGGAATGTTTGGGGGAGGGAGGCTGAAGAGAAACTCTCAGATACATGTTGGGGGTCTGGGGCCTGAGGAACTGATTTTCTACACCAAAGTAAGCTTCCAGTAAGCTCCCATGCAGTCCTTTGGAAAACAACCCGTACTTGCTGGTTCGATAGGCAGGAATGAGGAAGGGAATGGCCCAGAAAAAAAACATGTATATATGTATATGTATAACAAAACATCTCCGATTTGGGCTCCCTTTAAGGGAATCCTCAAACCCGGTTCATTCCCATTCCCAAAACGTGAAAAGCCATTCCCTGCGGAGCACCAACAAGCTTATGACCACCAAACAAAAATCGCTTTCAAGCGTTACCCGGGAAGGTCCACGACGTTCTGGCTGAGTAATTCTGTGGATGGACGAAATCCTCCACCACCCCCCAAGAAACCCTGGAATGATGTTTCTCCTCTAAATACCAACAAACAATAGTGTCCCATGGTTTCAAAGTGGCGCAGGATTTCGTCCATCCACAGTAATTCTCCGGCCTACGAGGGACCCGGAGAACGAAACGTTCATAGCTTTTTGGTCGCACACTCCCCAACGTTTGCCCAGTTGGCATGAGAGAGCTTTGGCTGTGGTGACCTTGTGGGACCTTGGCTAAACTTTGGGTCGCTCTTTTTTCAGTCGACCATAGTCGACCCTTGGGGCTTCTTCAAAGGGAAGCCACAAGAAAATTCCACCATTGGGCTTGGTTGCTGTTGTCCGCAAAAAGACCATCCAAATACCTTCAGCCAAAAAACATGATTCAGTCCAATGCGTTGGCAAACAGCCATACAAAGTCGGGGTACCCGGACCGACTTGGACCCAAAAAACAACATCGGGCGAGCGGTCCTCCCACATGGTGCACTCTTCTGTGTAGGGGGTCGTGAGGTAGGAGATGCCTGGCACTGCGCAGCGCAAAGCCACCAAAAGCCTGGATTATTCCGTTCAACCATCACCAAAGTAGCCCAAGACCCAGATTTCTAGGGTAGCTTCCCCATTCTTTCCAGAAAACCAACAAAACACTGAAACACGCAGATTTCTAGGGTACCTTCCAACCATTCTTTCCCGGGATCCTTCTTTCGACAATGAGAAGCGTCTGGTTGAAAAGAGCGATGGTTGGAAGGAATGGGGAATCAACCTCTAGAAGCGTAATGATCTGCAACATCTGAAGTAATTCCAAAAACTAAGGTAAGGATCCCCCGAGAAAAGGACCTGCATACAAGCTCGTTATTTCTCACTCTTTGGGTGGTGTCTTATGGGAACCCCTTGTTGGTTTTTCAAAGGGAAACAAAAGAACACAGCAGCATTGCAAGGGTCCCCTACTCTCACTTCCTTCGTGGGTTTGCCCCAAAACAGGAAGAAGCTCCCAAACTGTTTGTTTGGCACTAAAACTATCTTCCCAAAAAGTCTAAAGTCCAAGTCAGGGAGTGAGGAGTTAAAAATCACAACTACATTTGAGCGAGTCTTGTTTGGACGTACCCCTTTTTTGTGGTTCTTACCGAAAAACCAAAAGCAAGCCCGATTTGGCACGGCGATTTGGGCGTGCGGAGTGTTCCGAGCTCGGCGTCTCGCGCGCTGCGACGCCTGGGGAGTGGATCTGTGAGCGGATCAAATACATCCAAGACCCGCAGCCCAGCAGAAAGGCGGACGCGACCAGCGCCTCAAGCGGAAGCGGGGAGGTCCGCTGGGGTGATCGACCCAGCAGCATGGAATTTTTGTAATTGAAGTCCAACCAAAGTAGACCCTGCCCCAAGCCTTTAGACACACCCTGCTTAGTTTCCAAGCTTGAAAATTGTAAACCATGTCATTTGGCTGGGTCCTTTTTTAGGGGACCCTTCACACAAAAGCTTGTCGATTGCTTTGAGTCAACCTTGGTTGATGAAACCAACACCAAAAACACGGAGGCTGGGGGGGGGGGGGGCTTCTTTGAAGATAGATATTTCAACCTGGACATGGGTCAAGATCCCGTACCCCCAGTGAACATCCCAATCCACTAAAATAGGTTCTAAACTTGGTGTGCATTCACCAACCAAAATGGGATCCCCTTCCGGTGTTGACCACCACAGCCACCTGAGCTTTGAAGCTGCATCAAAAACCATGCCCATAGATGCTTGGTTGCTGTTGACCCCTGCAAAAATTGTGAGAACTGGGGGTTTAGTGGAAAACACCTTTATTTGGCCATGGGTCAAAAGCCCGTACCCCCAGTCCCCACAAAAATAAACTAAAATGGGAGGTGAATTCACCGACCAACCAAAATGGGATCCCATCGATTTTGACCCACAGCCATTTCAACCAAAAAGTTAAAGTCTAAAGATCCGTTGCCCAATAGCAGTCAAGGTTGGCGTTCTCGCATTCCTCACATCGACGCGACATTTTTTGAGCTCCGGGGCTCGGAGATAGCACCTGGAGGACCCTGAAATTGGGCGAAGCTGCCAGGCTGTGGTTGTTAAACCCAATCATTGGGTCCGCTGGAGCACAAAAATGCGGGCTTTTGGGAGTAGTGTTTTGGGGGTGAGTTTGGTCTTGGACAATGGGATCCCATGTTGGTAGGTGAATTCACCACCCATTGTAGGCTTCCTATTTTAGTGGTTGGATGGGAGGTTCACTGCGGGTGCGGGGGTTGGTTTGACCCATGGCCATGTGACTGGAGAAGACAACCCGGAAGTTCACCAAACCAAATCCACTCCAACCCCAAAGTGGTCCAATCCAAACCAAAGCAAAACTTCCTCAAGCGGTCCACCCAAAATCTGCGGTAGGAGTCAAGAGGGCGCATCGCCAGACCTAGGGTTGGGACAATCCCTTCTTCATTTGGGGCTTTGAGTTCTGAGGAAGTGACTCAAAGCCCATTCCAACAAAAAAGACATGGAATGACACATGAGCATTGTTTTTTTTAGAGGTTCAGGGCTTATACACTGCTGGGGAGGCTACGCGAGGGGCTTCGCGGGGCCAGAATTTGTGGAAGGGTTGGCTTCGCGAGGCTTCGCGGCAAGACTGTGGCTTCGCGGAGTGGCTTCGCCGGGCTTCGCGGATGTTTGTTCCACAAACATCTCTCACATTTGCGCCCCCATGTTGTTGAATCAAGTTGAGTCCATGCGAAAGGGTTCGATGAAAGGCGGCAAGAGAGGCATTGAGCTTCAGGACTAGGGGACATGGCTGGGCCTCAAAGGGGCGGAGCATGGAAGTTGGACCGCGGAGGCTTCGCGGGGGCTTCGCGGGGGCTTCGCAGAGGCTTCGCGAAAACGTTCCATCGTTTCTAGAAAAACCGAGCCTGAAACGCACAGTGCTCTTCCGGTCGTCTTCCCGTAATCTTCCTGTAATCTTGTCGTAGCCTGCTGACTCTAAACATCAACCTTTGGAATACTACTGCCATGAAAGCGCACCACACACTTGCCATGAAAGCACGCAATACGCTCAAACGACGAAGTGGCTTCGCGAAGTGGCTTCGCCTGTGTCAATGTTACCGGGCTACGCGAAGTGGCTTCGCGGGGCTTCGCGGTACACAATGTATCGCACAAGTGCCTTCGCGGAGCTTTTTGGAGTTCCCCACGAAGCTAAAATCCATCATCTGAGAAAAAAACGCTGCTCACATGGCCGTGTCTGTTTTGGAGGGCATCCATTTTGAAGCGTGTCATATCTTCTATTGTTGACCCCATATAAATAAATCCCATGGGGGGTGTCCCTGGGTAGCAACCGCCGGAGCCAGGACCGAAGCTCCGTTTTGTCAAAAAACAACACCCAAAAATGAGGGACCCTTTTTGGACGGGCGACACGTATAGGACAAGGGACAACTAGAAGGACCCTCCTACATAAGGAAACCTGCATTGCTGTCCAACGAACTTTAAGGTGAAAACTCTATCCAGGGTTCTAGGCGAACTAGTTCCCAGTTGCCCTACCAGGAGCCACAAAAACCAATGTTTTAGTCAGGGTACGACATTTCTTGGCAGGTTTTTGAAGCCCTGGGCAGAAACAACATCGGTTCCTCACCTACTTTCCTGACGTCTGCGGTGCAGAATGCCTCTGGGTTGCCCTCAGATCCCCAGCTAAAAGTGACTAACCTTTAGTGGGTGAAATACGGAAACCACTGTGGTGGACGAAATCCTGCACCACTTTGAAACCCGAAAAACCAGCGTTTGTTGGTATTTACAAGGGACTCATCATTCCAGGCTTTCTTAGGAGGTGCGAAATGGATTTCGCCAGCATCCACAGTACCACTTCACTAGCTAAAAAGATTTCCAAAAAAGGCGAAGGATCCAAATGGATGGCCGGGCTTGCCACCGATGCTTCTTGTTCTCTGCCGAGCTTCCACGGCCAGGGGCCGCGGCACGGAGAGGTCCTCCTGGAAGCCGCAGACCAACTGCCCCCCGCTCCGCTCCATCTCCATGCGGTAGCAGACCAGGTGTCTGGGGAAAAAAAAGCGAGACACGCGGCCATCCATCCCCTTTTGTTTCCTCGATGTGAGCGAACAACCCCCCCCAAAACAAAAAAAAAGCGCACGCGCGCCTGTTTTTTTTGGATTTGTGGGCGTGGCAAAAAGCAGAACACACACGCGATCGGGCTCGATTTGGCGTAAAAGACACACCCAAACCTGGAAAAAAGGGCGCACCTCTGTGAGATACCGCTTTTTGCTTGGCGTAAGAGAAACAGCCAACCTCCGGGCGATACCAGTTGTTATTTAAAAACACTTCACACAGCCCTGAAAACAAGAGCAACCTCCGCCCAGTTCTGTGGCGATCGGCTTCGGAGTGGGCGATGGGGTTTTATGGCCGAAACGCCACCCGGAAAAAACAAGAACAAAACCATGAGCTCCTCCAAAGCTTCTCGTAGGGGAGATCGTTAAACCATGCGATACCGGGTTTTTTGGCCCATCCAACTCATTCCCATCTGACATTCGGCAATTTGAACCCAAAGGTTCAACATCTGGGTGTTTTTCTTAAAGCCATGGTTTAAACATATTGCCAAAGAGAAGCCAAAGGAGCTTGTTGTTGTTATTTGTTCTCTCGGTTTAGCCATGATCGCTTCCTGGTTTGGATTGGTGGTTTGGATTTGGATTTGAACCACTCCTTCTTTTAAGGGACAGATGGGGTTTCCCACCCCACCAATCTACCGGGCTCCAAACCGCCCATTTTCAACTCAGGGAGTGAGAAGCTGAACCAACTCGTGGTTAGGTTGGGCCATTCAACTTGGCGTTGGGTTTGTCGGGAGGGGTTTCCATCATCTGCACACGCAACACTTCTAATTGCTGAATTCCCCTGGAAAAAGGATGAAATGTGTCCAGTAGTGATAGATTCTCTTTCACACCAACAAGGGAAAACAACACATGCTATCTAAGCAAGTGCAAAAGACAATGAAAGCATCCTGCAAGGCTTGGTTTGCAGGGGGGCTTGGGGAACTTCTGGGCGCCAAAACCTATGGAGCTGGTCGCCCCAGATGCGGCAAAAAGAACTACGCCTTGGTTGCTGGCGTGCTGGCGAGACCCCTCTTCAAAAAGTGGCGGCAACTTGTTGTGGCTTCAATTCGGCAAAGCAACTTGAGTCCAACCCAAAAGTCTACCCTGCCCCCGTTGCAAAACAAACCCGCCTGCGACTGATTTCGCTTTCGCTGGGAATACGTTGGTTCTCCCAGAGGACATGCTTCTTCGGCGCATCTTTTTTTACGCTTGGCCCATGAGGGTAGAGTGTGAAGGTAGACATCTGAAGGGGTCATGACATCGCCCCATCAAACTTGGCACTCTTTGAGGGACACCTTCCAGCCCAGCAGCTGGCGCCGAACATTTTGCCGGCAGCCCTCAGAAAGAATCAGTTGAGTCACAATCAAAACTCGGTATCAAAATGGTCTACCCAAAACCATGTAAAGAATTAAGAAGGCGGATATCGGCAGCCATTTATGGTTGGGAGTATCCCTTACAAACGTTCATCTACCCGAATCGGTTTTGAGCACGTGGCTCAGTTGGGGGGCACGCAAAAAAGAGACCTGACAGGGGCGTGGGCGCTGGCTTCCAGCCCCAGCCGCCGGCCTTCCGAAAGCAAAGCATAAGCGAGGCAGATAGCAGTTGCCCGTCACAACGATGGCCGAGCACATATCAACCAGCCTGGGCTGGGCTGCTCTCACAGACGAAAGATCTAAGACCCCTTGCAACAAGTTTTTGTTTTGGAGGGGAACACTGATTCGGGAACCCAAAAGGCTTGCTCAGACATGCGCCCAGCAAATGTGGGACCCTAGGAGATTGCCTCCTTTGTTCACACTTTTATGGGAGAGCAAGAGGACGGACAAGAGCTTTGGACACCAAGGAGTTGTATACAAAAATCTCGGAAACCGAGCGTCCGTGCCAAGCAAAGCAGAAAGAACAGCGCCAGCAGAAGGACCAACATGTCTGCGTTGTACAGTGTCTTCGGGATGCCCACGTAGCCTTGCTCAAGGCTTGAGGCAACAAAACTTGCGATCGGTGCGATCGCCAGGGAATGAGAAAGGGAATGAACCGTTTGGGATTCCCTTAAAGGAAACCACCAGTTGGACGGTTTGTAAGGGTCATTCCCTCATTCCCTACTGAGCACCAGCACCAAAATGGGGTGGACTCCCCTTAAATCTTAAATTAGGGGACGCATTTCATATTTTGAGGAGGACCAAGAGACACCGGTTGGCTGAGGGCCCGATGAGTTGTGGGGTCTCTCATGTTTCTAAGGGTTTTTCATCCAAAAAACGGTCTGGATGTGGCTTTTGTGCATCCACCCCTCCAGAATATTAAAAAAGACCACCAAAATTAAAAAAGACCACCAAAAAAGGAACCACTGGAGAAAACTGGGTGAAATCCACCAAAAGCGCCTCCAACCTGTTTGCTGGATCTCTCGGGAGACTCGGGTTTAGGGTTCCACTCCACAGGGGTGGATGGCCGGGGGGGGGGGGGGGATGGCCCTTCTGAACGCTGTTTGGTGTAAAGGGGTGCGAAAGGGGCGAAAGGGAAGCCATTTGGAACCACCATGATCCAAGCAACACAAAACCCCGGGTTTCATCTACCCCGATAAAAAATCACGGCCGGGTTGAGGAATCAATACACACACAAACACCAAGAATGCGAACCATTAGACTACGAAATCAGAAACACAAAGCAGAACAACCTAAGCAAAGAAACCAAGTGTCACACTACCAAAACAATACACAACTGATTCAGGCATTCAATGCGGACCCCAACATGGTCACATTTCCCTGTAAACCCACCACGAAAAATTGGATACCCTCAAAAACAGACGCACCAATTCTAGAACAACCGCAAGACAAACAAGCAGCAAGCAACCAGAACTCAACCCGCAAAACCAGCGCACCAGCCATGTCCGCGCACAACGACTTCAGCTCCGAACTGGCGCAGGGCCCGGCCTAGAAGGCACTGGACGGACTGCCCGTCGCCTGGGCAGGCGGGCAGGGGTCCAAATGCTCCGTTTGCAGGTCCCTGGAGCTGAAGGTGACCGCAGGTTTCGTGGGTGGATTAATGTTGACCCAGGATTAATAAACCGTCCCACTTTTAGGGGGGTGTTCCTCCAAAAGTGATGAATCCCCACTAAAATGGGACCCCCCCTATTAATCAACCAGGGGTTTATTAATCCGGGGTTAACATTACTCACACTCACCCACCCAACTAACGACTAACAAAGTGTTGGCGGGTTACGCAACACCCACCCACCCAACCAACTTACGACCAAAAGCCGAAGGAGGTGACGAAGTTGTGGTGGGCAAAAGACGCAGACTCAGCCACTAAAACCAACCAAAGGTCTGAAAAGCACTGAGGAACCGGACGGCTGGTTCTGAACCGCCAAGCCCAAGAAATGGACCGATTTATACCGATTTGTAGCAGTTACCAAGTCGAAGTCAACTAGTAATCTCAGCTTCCATCGAATTGGTGATTTGGATTGCTGGTTTGGTGGTGAAGGAGAAGCTTCCCAGTTGACCTCTGCAAAAGCCAGGTGTTCAAATAAGTCTAAATCCAAGTCCAAACCACTCGAAACCACCAAGCAGGAGGCAACCAATGCCTACTGAAAAGAACAAGCATCAATATATCACCTATGGCTGGGACTGTCCCTTTCTCTACCCGGGTTTTGCTTGCAGGTGGAATGAAAAGGAAGCCACCCGGCCTAATACCCTCAATATACACCCACGTTGCAGCGTTTGTACTACCTGCAGAGTCAAACAATTGCCATACAGTCCAACAAAAAGTGCGATACACTCTGCATGGGTAGAGTTCAGAGAGTTTTGTGGGGGATTCTTCGTAGACTTGCGGGAGCCCCATGGAGCCCCCATGGGCCAAACAAAGCCGATCCGAACAAACCCGCTGGGCCATCTGGGCCAAAGCCGATCCGACGTCTCAGGTCTCAGTGACTGCCACCGGAGTTGGCGATGTCCACGGGAATGGACAAAGCCTCGATCACCACCTGCGGGACTGGGACCAAAACGTTTCAGCCGTCGGGCTACCTAGGGGTACCGAGCCGTTGGAATGGGGGGATTCTCTTAAGGAAACCACCACTTGGATGGTTTATAACCTGGGGATTGTTCAAAACGGGCTACCTTCCATTTGCCATTCTTTCCAGGCATCCGGATCTTTCTAGAAAACCACCCAAAACCCTGGGGAAACAGCAAGAAAGGTTTTTGATAAAAGACAAAACGGCACCTTGGTTGAGGGGAAAATGTTGCCCTTGATTGTTTTCAGCGCGCGTGGTGTTGCGGGCGTTTTCGGTGGTGGGTTCGTTTTGCTGATGGAGCCTCAAACCCCGAGAAACAGAAAAATGCCGGGCCAGGGCTGGATTTGGCGCTTGGGCGACGGAGCTGACGGATGTTTTTTTTCTGCTTTTCGGATAAAATCAGGGCTTTGTTTTTCCGAATTGAAGCCACGGAAAGTTGTAAACACCTGTTGCAGAGGGGGCGTTTCGAAGAATGTGCTTGCCAAATCGCTTCAACTGCCAGTTATGGTGACAACTGATTAGCAACCCCACCCCACCCCACACCCCCTTCAAGGTCGACAAGGTTTGAACAAGTCCCCAAATCTGAGATGTGGAGGACCCCCCTGATTGCTCTCGAGCCCCTTCGGTCCTTGTCCTCTTACTTCTGGTCCCTTCGGGGCAGTAGGACTTTAAAAGGCAACAACAGCTTTTTGGGTTTTGAGCCCAAAAGGGTCCTGATTCATCGCGGGGGTTTTCTGTTAATGAGGGGGAGGCTGGCCTCCAAGGCGGGTCCCCTTTGTGAGCTTGAAAACCTTGTCATTTTAAACAAACGTTAATAAAGAAAAATGCATTTTGGGGGAAGCACATGTTTGACGAACTTGAGGGGTTCAATAGTAGCAGACTAAGCAAATACTAAGCAAGAAGGAAAGTCCCTTTTCTGGCAGGCTTTCTTGGCTTGGGGGCTGCCGAGGGATACCTTTAATCGGGGGAGGTTTTTCAGGAGGGCCCACAAATAATTAGGTAGGTTTTTTTTTGGGAAACCTTGTTGGCCCTTTACTTTAATATTGGTGAGAACCTGGGGGGGAAAAAGGGGAAACCTGGGGGGGAAAAGAGGAAACCTTTAATCGGGGGGGGGGGGGTTACTAATCGTTTCGGAACATTTCGAATCGTCAGTTTTTGAGGGTACCCCCCTTTTTTTTGCGGTTTTGAAGGGAAACCAAAAGGAACACCGTTGCGCCATTTTGGGGAGTCCAGCTTAAAGAAGGACGACACACCCATAGTTCTCATTCTCATTCTGACCTCGAAAGGGGCCTTAAAATTCCAACCCCAATTAAACAAACAAATCCCTGGGGCGTCCAGCGGTCGCGGTCGCGGTCCGTCCTGCAGGGTTTCGGTGAGCTGTCGGAAGCTCCGGGAGTTGCTCACGGTACTGAGCACCTCATTCCGCAAGTCAGCGGCCCGCGATTTTTTTCGGACCAAACAACCAAACAGGACACATACTGTGGATGGACGAAATCCATTTCGCACCACCTAAGAAACCTGGGAATGAGGATACCAAGAAACAATGGTTTTCCATGGATTCAAAGTGGTGCAGGATTTCGTCCATCCACAGTCGGACCTACACCTGGGCCAAAATCAGCCGGGGGCCATACGGTGGATGGTTTTGCAAACTCCATTTCGCACCACCCAAGAAGCATAGGTGTCCCCTGGTTCGGGAACAAAAGATCTGATAGTTGATTCAAGCTGGAAAAAAAAGCAGGGCCCTCGATTTGTTTCGACCAAATCGACCAAAAAGGACGCCCATGCCGATGATTCCCCATGTAAATACCGAAGAATGGTTTCAGCCATGGTTTCCAAGTGGTGCGAAAGGAGTTCGCAACCATCCACGGTAGGGGACCCATCCGAAATACGCGGGGTGAGGGGGTGGGGGCTTTCTTTGCTGCCATCGGTGCCATAGGTGGGGAATGTGGGATGCAATGACCCTACAAACCGAAACCAGTTCCTATGGCTTACTTTAAGGGAATACCAGGTTCATTCCCTCTTTCCGTGAGCACCAGCAGATTGGTTTTTCACCCATTTGCAACCGGAATGTGGGAATGAAATCAAGGGTCCCCTCAAAGAAAACCACCAGTCGGATGGTATGAGGGGCCACTCCCTCATGCCCTGCTGAGCACCAGCAAATTTACCTGCTGGTTTTCTGAGGGGTTTTGTGCGATTGGCTTTTCACGGCGCAACCAGCGGGGATGCTTTTATATACTTTCTGGAAGAGAGGGAAGTGAGAAATGGAATGACCCCAAGAAAAACCATCTCCAAGTTGGCTTCGGCCAACACCCGGACTCGGTCATTCCCCACTGAGAACCAGCAAGTTTACCATCTAAGGCCTAATTTCGAAGAGTTTGCGTTCACGTCAACATTGGCTTCGGCTTTCCTGGTTTCCCTTAAACTAATCTGACAAGTGTCTCCACAAAGCACACAAAGCACACACACACACATAGGAACCCGACGCTGGGATGGTGCCAATAGCATCGCATGGGGAAGCGCGCAAGGCGAATGCTGAGCCAAGGGCAGGCATGCAGACCGCGACGTAGGACATCAGCTGGTTGGTGAGGATGGTGCTTTTGTAGCTCTCTTGCCCTGAGAAGATGACGCCTGACCAGCGAACTACCCCACCTTTCAGCGGGACAACAGCAGCGTGTTTTTGGACCAAAAGTTAGGTCCGAACCAACCCTCCACAACAAAAAACACTAAAATCAACGCCAACAACCCTCCAAACCCCCGAAAAGTCAGGGGAAACCCCTCCACAAGCCAAGTCAGCAGCGTGTGCGCCTGAAGCTGAGACCGCGAAGAGCACCGAGTGCTGAAAGACGAAGCGAGCCCACTGCAGGACTTTCATGGACTGCGACTGGGAGCATTTGGTGCAGGCCTCACGGCATGCGTCACGTGTCTCGCACCGCGCGAGTTTGCGCTTTGCTTCAGCCGCATGGGCAATGTTAACCCCGGATTAAGCAGCCCCTGGTTGATTTTGATCGGGGGGTGTCCCCTTTTAGTGGTTGGATGACCACTTTTGGAGAAAACATCCCCCTAATAATGGGACGGCTTTATTTATCCTGGGTCAACATTAAGCGGTGAGCTGGTTTAATCACTCCCAACTCAGATAGGAAATGCCAGCCCAGGTTTTATTTACATGATCCTGCTTGTCAATCTGTTCATTCGCTTACCTAGGCCCTAAAAAACATGTTCATTCCACTTGCCGAAACCCTCGACTTGTTCATTCCACTTACCCAGACCCTCAAACTACACTTCGAAATGGGAAATCACCACGCGAGTTTGAGGCGACCTGTTCATTCCAATTGACTGGGCCCACAGGTAGACACTTAGAAATTGGATATTGTCCCAGCATAAGTCTTCCATTTGCTTAAGCCCCTGCAAACCCCGAAAAGATTTCTAGTAGTGATAGATTCCCGTTAGGGAAATAACAAGTATATGCATTTCAGCAAATGGAAGTACTGGGCTTTCCCCCGTCTTCGGGGTTTCTTCCTTTGGATCCCGAAAGCATCCTCCCCCCTCGTCTTCCGGGTCAAGTGGCGAAGGGGTCGTTCACAGCACGGCCGTGGGTTTCTTGGTTGCACTTGGCGCAGCCGTGGCCTGCCGCCGGCGATCTCTCGTGTTGGACCATGTTTCTGAAAAATAGTTATCCCCCTACCTTAGGAGGCAGGGGGGTGTGGGGTCCCCCAATTCCATTTATTTACTCTTCCCCATAAAAGGGCAAATGGCACCATAAATGGAATTCCAGGGGTTCTCCAATTCCATTTTGAAGGGGGTGGTCTAGGGGTGTCGTCCGCGCTCTGAATCCAGAGCCCAAAGAAAAACCCAGGAAAAACAAAACCCCCATCCGCGAACCTGCGAAGCAACCCTGACGCCGCCTGCGTACCCGTCGACGCACATAGGTGTCCACCCGTTTGTCGTGATGTTCCCTCCAGGACAAGCCATCCTAAGCAACAGCGTGAGGCGCAATGGTCTGATGCCTGTGGTTAAGTATTTCCCTCTGTCTAACCATAATGGAACAAAGACTTGTCATTAGCTATGTTTCATATTTGGTCAAAAACGAAAACAACGAGACCCTGGAGGGAGCCCTGGGCAAACTAAATGAGCCGCCAAAATCTCGAGGTGCCAAACTGGAAGATCTCTGAACCTCTCGCATTAAAGGGACACCCTGGTTTCTTGGGTGGGTTTTTGATCTATAGGGTCCTTAGGGTTATCCGGTGGCCTGCGCGTTTGGCTGCTGGTCTTTTTCCTTCAAAACATGTGGCGCACACAGCCGCAAACTATTTTACCATGTGCCTTGGTTCAACATGGCCCGTCCATGTGCAGGTGAGACCTATGGGGCACCTGAAATGTCAACGCCCCTCCTTCAACATAGGCGTCGTTTCACTACGCCAGCGTTGAGTCAGGATTCCAAAGTCTTGCCCCCTTTCCAATCACAACTCTTGGCAAAGCGTCTTCGTGTGATGTTGTTCTCTGCGCTCAATGAAAACAATCTTCAAAGCATTGGGCCCAGACCTTTCTTGGGTCCAAGATATCAGGTCTGCACATGTCTCAGCTTTCCTAACCCTCTTCGACTCGCAAGGCCTCTGGCAGCCGAATCGCTCAAGACTACCAGATCATAGGCTTCGCCCCAATCTGCTAACCGTGATTGGATGCTTCTGCCTATAGGACATGCGCGTACTAGGGCATAATACTCGGATTCTCCACTGCTAAGCGCAATGGTTGATTGGAAGTTCGATCCGTGTTTCACACAACGCTGCCCTACGCAAGCTGCACAGTCTGTCGTGCTCTTTCGTGTTCCGACACAGCCGGTGTGGTCTGAGTCACAAAAGGTTCGCAGAACGTTCCCTCTTCGCTGGGAGTGGAGAACATTCACAACCCCAGCTTTCCAAGAAGGCAACGTCCTAACCGTTTCCGGCCTCATGTCTGCCTGATTCGGCGCCTTCATCTGCCTCACTCAAGTCTGCTCGATCTTGCGCAAGAAATTGGGCCAGCATGTTCAGTGATCTGACAAGTGTGACTTGTTCTGGAGGTAGATGCCTACATTTTTCCCGCAGCATACGTCGCCGCACCAGCTTGTTGGTTGTGTTGTATGATTTTCACCACGGTCAGGTACTTGTTGTCCACATTCAGTCCAATAATTCCGTCGCATCTGCACTCCTACTTCTTGTTGAGAGGTCTGAGAAGTTGAGGGTCTTCTTGATGTGGTCTTGTCCATCATCATCACCCAAAACGAAAAAGTCAGCACCATGAACTAAAAGCTTAAGTAACATCATGATCCTTGTGCTTGAAAATGGATGTCCAAGCCTTACCTTGCTCATAGCAATTCTTCTGCACTTGGCCAGAATAACCTGTCTGCCGAACATTAGCTGCATCTTGCGCGCCATACATTGCACAATGTCCGTCTTCTTAATTATACTCTTGGAGGTAGTGTGACATAGATGCTCTGTCCATGGAAATGCGCTCTACCAAAATGGCAATTGCCGCGCAAAAAGTAACGACAGTGGGAACCTTTCAACAGCCGTAGTACTTCTTCGTCATGTGAAAACGGGCAATCCAATCTGCTCCACGATCGCAACCTCGTTCTCAGCGCGCGTGCTTTCTCCTCTTCGCCACTTTGTTTTCTTCTGGTTCCTCTTCCTGGCTCTTCTAGCATCTGTCATCTTCCCCCTTCTCTTCTTGTGTTCATCACTCCCACCTCTTCCTTCTGTCCTCCTTTTCTGGCCTCATCTTGTCATCGTCCACCTCGATCACCTCGGTCTCAATTCCACCGCCGACCAAGTTCTCCATGTCCGCCTTGACGTAGTTTTTGAAACTTTTGCTGCCCTTCTTCCTGAACTCTTCCAGCCATTCTTCCTCAAGACGGATTCGTTCCTCGACTCGGGCTTTCATCCCTTGCTTCCTGAAGAGAGGAGCCCTGCATCGCGACTTCTCTTGTCGTTAAGCGCTATGGTGAGAGACGCCAGCCTTGATGGCGTGGTAGTATCTGGCATCACGCCAGTCCTTGCAATTCATGGTCTCCTTCGTCAGGTGCTTCACCACGTAGGACTTCAACTTCTTCATCTCCTCATCTCCTCTTTTCGCGCTTCTCATCCTCGGCTTCCTCCAGCATCCTCACAAGGCCTACTGAGCCTGCTGCATTCGTCGGGGTCAGCATTCTCTTGAGCTGTATCTCATCTGTCTTCTCTTCTTCAACGCCTTCTTGCGTTTCGTCAACTCCTCAACCGTCTCCTTCTCCTTGTTCTCGGAGTCCTCTAGCATCATCTTCGCCTCATTCGACACTTCGATGATTTTTCCTGCTTCTTCATCCCCTCCTTGGATGTTCCTCTCCTTCATGTACAACTCCAAATTGCGGCACTCTTTCTCCTGGCTGGCTGCATCTTCCTCCACACCCACGTTGTACTCGGTGTCTGCTTGGAGCTCCTCATTTTGCTCGCGACTCCAAACCTCTCTCCCGAGTGACAGCTCATCACCCTCTTCGACCTCGCATTCCTCTCCTCATTTTCTTCTCTCTCATCGCCGTCGGTGTGTCTTTGGACGGGTCGAGGTAGGTGTAGGGCGGCATCCAGCCTCTCTCCCTGGCATACTTTAGCGCTGCGCTTCTCCCCTTCCTGTCGTCACAGACCCTTGCCTTCTCGGCGAAGCAGCTGGCCCTGGCTCCTCTATCGCCTTCTTGAGCCGGATTGCCGCTATGTGGTGACAGGGCAGAAACCAACTCAAGCTCTTTCCTCTGAGCAGCCTCCTGAACCCCTTCTTTGCCACATTGCGGGCCTCCTCATGTAGGCCAACATGGGGTATTTCTGGATCGGAGCCGGAACTCGTCATTGCGAGATCTGCCTCAGGCGCGCTTAACTCGAGGTAGCTGGTTTCTGCTGATGTCGTTGTTGGATATTCAAATGCCTTCATGTGTTTGATACCTTTGTCTTTCTTCCCCTTCTTACATTTACCCTTTCCTTTTGGGTTTGAACTTGCAATCCCTCTGGACATACCCGGGCTGTCCGCAGTTGAAGCACGCTGCGGAACGCCCATTTGAGCCAGAACCTTTCGATCCTTTGCCATGTCCAGTGTGTCCCTTACTTGGGCCCCCGAACCTTCACCCTTTGGCTTGCCTTTCTCGTTGCCTTTCTTCTTCCCTTTGGAGCTGCCTTTCTTGCCGATGTCCATGTCGTCCTCCCCTCTAGTTCTGCCGCTCAGCGGCTCTATCTTCATCTTCACGCCCGTGCGCGTCTCCAGGCAAGCGCTCAACTCTGTGCGTATGCCCTCGAAGTCGGTGAACCTAGAGCGATTGAGCTGCAGATGTCGTTCAGATGAATATCTTTATATCGTTCAGGATCCTCTGTCTGTTTCCGCTCATCGCGATAAACCAGTTCTTGCCATCCTTTAAATCCTTCACTCAACTCAAGCTTGCGTTTTCCAAGGCTGAGAACATGTCGAAGTAGTGCTGGTTTCTTTGCACCAGTATGTTTCACGAGTTTTCGCAACCTTCAGGACCATTTCTTTTCTCCGTGTTCCTGATGATGATGAAAGCTTCTCCTCCCAACAGGCTTTGAAGAACGCCGAACAATTGGGCCGGTTAGTCTGTCAATTACGTTCCTTCGCCAATTCTGTCGATGTTTTTTCCTCTCCGTCTGCCCAATTTTTGACCGCTTCCATCTCAGGGAATACCGAGAAAATGAAAACCTCCAACTTGATCTTCCATCGGAGGAAATACTCTTCATCTTTCCCGGTGAACTGCTCAGGTTTCCCAATACCACGGTTGTCGATAAGGGTAACCTTCTTTTCTTCGCCCTTTTTAAAAGCCGCAACAAACTCCGCTTGTCCCCTCGCAACTGCTTGAATCATGGTCTCAGTTGCACCGCCTGATCCCGCTGCTTGTCCAGATGCTTGTTGTTGCTCATGCCGCCGCGAATGGCGTCGAGCATTTCGCACATTGTTATACGAACACGTCCCGCCGCCTTTCCAGCTGTTCTGGTTCGACGCCTTGATGACTTTGGTGGGGTGGGGTGGGGCGGGATGGGGTAATCACGTACGGAGCACAAGTTGCTCGGATGCCTGCTGTTGTGTGATTTAGTCACAGAATTAGTCGCAGTATCACGCAGGTCGAATTTGGACTTTCAATTTTTCTCTAGCGTGTGTCATCGAAATTTTGCTAATTACGTACACTTCAGTTCTGTGAGCCATACTTCGCCACAGTTTCCCAATTTTTCAAGACTGTTCCCTTGCCTCGGGATCTTTGAAAGGTTGGAAAGACTTGCAAAGGTGGCTGCCACCTTGTGTCATGCCAAGAAGAAGAGCGCTGAATCCCGAGCGGCGGCGATACTCGTAGAATTACCAATGGCGGCACAACACGCGTGATTGCCTGTAGGCAGCAAGGCCGTAGTTGTTTCATGTCCAGACATCCTGATTGGGCGTTTGCCAGGGCTGAGAATTCCTCCGCGCCGCTAGTGGGGGCGTGACCTTGTTGTTGAGCAAGTGCATCCATCTGAGCTCGAAGTTGCTGTTCACGATCACTGGCCTGGAGTGCCTAGCTGAATCTTTGCCAGTTGTTCAAGCGCCATCGGATCACTTTAAACACAAAGGAGCCGTAGACTGGGAGCCGCAGCTCCGCTACCACTTTCAAGCATTATGTGGCGCAGACAGCCGCTTATTATTTTACAATATCTTGAGCCAAAATGGCCCGTTCATGGGGCACCTGAAATGTCAACGATTCCACTGATACATATCCCTTATCTTGCTGGTTCTCAGCAGGGAATGAGAAATGGCATGACCCCATAAATCGTCCACTATGGTATCCTTTAAGAAAATCCCAAACGGTTCATTCCCAAAACCCGCACTCGGTCATTCCCTACCAATCGCAGCAGCCCCTCGGCCTTGCCCGAATCGGTTTTGAGCAAGCTCGAGTGGAAAATCAGCCAACGCCCTGAGCGCGGGCCTTACTCAGACCCCTCACTCCAGTTTAGCCCAGTGTCTGGTTGGGGCAGTGGAGGCTGAGCGACAGATTGCTACGGTCCACCATGAAGCCTGGCCTGGCAGAGTGCAACAAAGGGCCTCGCACCTTGGCCCAAAAAGTGGGATACGCGCAATCATGACATTCATATGGGCCAGAACCTGAATATATAGATCGTAATAATAATAATAACGGTAATGATAATGATAATAACAATAAGTCTGACAACAATGACAATAGCAATGATGATGATATTGATAACAATAATAACAATACTGATAACACTAATACAGACAATAAGAATAATTATAATAACAATGACAGCAATAATGATGATAATAATGATGATAATAATAATGATGATAATAATGATGATAGTAATAATAATAATAGTAATAACACTGATGATAACAATAACACGCACAATACAAATCATAACCACAGTCATGATGATGCTGATTGTCATAATCCCCACAGCACGTGTGGTTCGCCCAGAACCACCTTGTTCCACTTTCTGGCCTCATTCCAGCCTTAGGTTTAACTTGCCCCTTGTAGGGTTCAGGTTTAGGGTTTAGGTTTCAATCCACCCGTTTATTTGGGGTTTAACTTGCCCTGAAACCACCGCTTTAAGGTTCAGGTTTAGGGCTCAGGTTTATGGTTTAGGGTTTAGTTTTGGGGCTTCACTGGCCCTCAAGCCGTTTAGGGCTCAGGCTTAGGGTTTAACTGGCCCCCAAACACCCGTTTAGGGTATGGTTTTGGAGTTTAACTTGCCCTCAAACCCTCACTTTAGGATGTGGAGAGCTTCATTTGTCACCTTCTAATTTCTGGCTGAGCCCAGGATAGTCCCAAAAAATGAACATAGCGAACAGCGAAAAGCCGCACCCTGCGCAGTTGTGCGCATCGGCGAAGGCTAGCCGATGTTCTAAGGGCCGACCGCTCGATATCAGGCACGGGTGCTAAAACGCTGAGGCGAGAGGGAATCTGAGCGTGTGACATTCAGGTCCATATTTAGTCTATGCAAAACAAACCTCTTGAAGACCCCAGACCCCACTCCGCAGCACACAGACAAACACTATACTCTGCGGAAATGTTCGCAAGTGTTTGCTCTGCACAAATCTTTTCGGGATTGCAAGAGTATATAAGTTTCATAGGAAATCTGATCAATGCTCGCCCATGATTGACTATGGTCCACATTTCATGGAGTTCATGAACCCCAAAAAGCGGGTAAACACACACATCGAAAGAGACTCCCTTTTTTTGGTGGGTGTACTGTTCCTTCCTTCTGAACACAGGCCCGCAAAAAGCTAACGGGCGATATTTATCCTGGAAATGAGGCTTAATGTCACAGAGATAACAGATCGATGTCCTTCTGAAGCAAGTGCATGTGTTTTGCCACGGTCCGACCGCTCCGGCTGCATAGATCATCCATGGCATGCAAAAGGAATCCAATTTGGTTTTGGCTGTAGCCATCGCTTGGGAAAAGTGCTCATACTGATATCCTCATGACTTTGGACCCCACCTCTGGATTTCACCTTTTCTTTGGCTCCTTTGAAAGGGGGCAAGCCGCACCGGAAAAAGCCCACACCGGAGGGTCAGGCAACGAGAAGTAAATTTGCAGCGCCTGATTCCGAGGCCGTCTGCGAGTGGGAAGGATGCCCGTGGCACCTGAACGATCCCAGCAAACAACTGCGTCAGGGTTCCCAGGAAAGACAAGTTGCTGACAAGCCTAGGTCCTTCAAAAAAGAGGTTTGAATAAGGGTACCAGGTTTTTCGTGTTTTTTCCCTTTTTTTTTCTGTAGTCTATTTTAGTAGGGGAACCCTCCCGGTCAAAGGGCACTAGTGAGGGACCTAGAAGCATTGTGTGTTTGTTCATGTCGTATTCAAAACGATGTCTACCTGCGTTGCTTTTTTACTTGTGCCCCAGAACAAATCGCCGAAGCGAAACGCAGATTGGACTTGCCACCAGGTGATGTTTCAATCATGCGAGCAGTCTTTCCTTGAGTTAAGAAACCTGTTTCAAGACACATTCCAATCTCCCTTGAGATTTTGGGAGAGCCAAAAAACAACTCCAAACTTCGGCAAAATTGCAGCCCCAAAAGTCCTTTTCAGTTCCTGAAACCTGAGCTGAAACCAGCGAAAAGCCGCAAAAGCCAAAATGCCACCTGCAGAACTCGGAATGCAGAGGATGCGAGCAGCCAAAGCCAAAAAGCCACCAAAAGCCCCATAAACCAACAAAAAGCCGGAAGCCAGAAGCCGAGAAGCCAAAAAGCCAAGAAGCCAAGAAGCCAAGAAGCCGAAAAGCCAAGAAGCCAAAAGCGAGAAACGAAAACCCTAACATAAATACCCCTCCCTTTTTTTGTAGGCCACCTGAGCCTTCTTTGGACATAGAAACGTCGGTCTTGCCTTGATGCACTCGTGCCCAAAGACCGTGGTCTTCACAATCTTCACCGGGCCCCGAAACTGGAAGTACCCGCTCCTGACGTCGGAAGCCTCGAGGCCTTCCTTCCGCATGGAGATAGATGAGACGGTCTCACGGGACGTAGCTCGAGTCCACCCACCAGGGCTGGAGAAAAAACAACGTGTCGCAGGGTTTAGGGCAGGGCGGGGGATTTTAGGATTTTAGTGGATTCGAGGTTGGTTTCGGATGGGAAGGGTGGGTTTACAGTCTAGAAACTGGGAAGTTTGCTGGCCCCATGAGTGTTACATAAAGAACATAAGGGGCTAAGTAAGTACGCGCAGACACAGTAGTCGCCCATGATCAAAACTTAACAAGACTTACATTGTTTTAAGGCACCCCACAACCCCGTAATCATCTGCAAAGTATAACCTGTAATTCAAAACCTGAAATTGCGGGATCACCCGCCAAGTAAGGACCTACATCAGGTGAGTTCACTTTCCCAGCTGAGCGCCATAGGCAGAATTACCTCGCCCCATTTATTGAATGATTTTTGATTGGGGACCCTTTGGTGGACACCATTTGGCCATGGGTCAAAAGCCCGAATTCTAAGTGAACATCCCAATCCCCACTAAAATTGACTGAAATGGGTGGTGCACCTACCCCAAAATGGTACCATTGGTTTTGACCCACCGCCATTTAGGTGGGGATTCAGAGTCCGCCACTTTGGCGACGGTTCCCTATTCAAAATCAGGGTTGATCAAAACGTCCTCATAGGATGACCATCAGGGAAACCACCCAAAAAGATGACCGTCCAACCACTGGACAGGTCATTTGCGGGCCGAACGGAATGTTGATCAACCCGCGAAATGTTCATAGCCGTATTGAATCTGCAAACTGTACAGTAATTGATTCCAAAACCTGAAGAAAGGAATCTCCTACTTAGTAAAGGACGTGTACGAAAGTGAGCTTGTTTTACTCCCCTGAGTGAGCTAATTAACGTAGCCATATCCCACTTTGTGAGTGGGTGGCCCAAAAAAGTCCACACTTTTTGCTTACCACTAAAGTGGTCTTACCAAAAGCTTAAACAGGGATCCTTACATTATACACCTGAGCTTTGCCTTGTAAATGGTGGTTTCCCTTTATTTTGGTGGAAAAAGCCGTGTTTCTTTCAATTGGGCAAAATGTATCTTTTAAGGAGCCCCCTTTCCCCCACATCCACAGGCTCCTGCAGGGGCGACACTCCGTCTTGTAGACGTCCACATTCCCTCAGGAAACGGGTGTTTCCGGTTTTGGCTTGGAAGCACCTCCTCGGTTGCTCAGAAGGCCCAGAAATGAAAGGTGATCAGTCACCTCGATTGCTTTCTGCTCCCCTGCCAAAAGTTTCACTTTTAGTGGTTTAATGGACAACCCATTAGTTGGCAAGAAGTTAAAGTCCCAACATCCAAGCAAAACGCACCACAGAGTCTTTGGCACCTCTAAAGATGGTTGCCAAAATTGGAAAGGAAGGTCAAAAGGTCGATTCGCTTTGGACAACTGAGTAACTGGGCCTAAGGGCAAACCTGGACCCTGAAACCACCTCTCTTTTTTTCCGGATGCAGAGCGACTCCGCTTTTGACGCTCAAAAGCATGCAAGCAAAGACTGAAACACTTGGTCGACATTGCCTCAGTCGCTGGGGCCTCACTTCAAATCGAGTCGAGCCACAAAACGTCTCAAGTCCAGAAACTCCGGAAGCGAACATATTTCTCAAGAAAAGCTAAATTGGTCAGTCACTTGGTGCCAGACTTGAGCCTTCCGGCCGGAAGCTTTGCGAAAAGGAGGTCGGAATGGGACAGAGACTCTAAAAGCATCCAGGAAACAAAAAGATCGCCAAGAGGTGTTTTTCTATGCCCTGTTCATAAATTACCTTAAGCAATCTGTGCCTTTTGCCATCACCCTCTTCCATTTGAAAGAATACTGTTTGGTTCCCTTGTTGGTTTTAAAGTTGGAATCTATGGCTACTCCAAATATGTGGGTATGTGTCAAAATCAAACCACCAGACCGCAGGCTTTAGTCGTGGATTCCATTCACCAGTGGAAGATTTTGTCCGGGGGGGGGAGCGAAAAAGCAGATGGAAGCCCAAGACCCCGTCCCAGCGGGGCCCGAAGCGCCTTCCAGTCCGTTGTCGCACAGCACCTCTTCGGTGCTCCTGGTGCATTGTTTTGGGGTGGGGGCGGGGGTTCAAGGCGTGTCTCCTTCTGTGTAGTTGGTACGTGCTTCTTTTCTGTTTTACGGGGGTGGGTGAGTTTGAAGGGAGATCAGCAGGTACGTTGTTCTCGTGTTTTCCTTTTGTGGGGGTGGGTGGATGAAGGGGGGGGGAGTTTTAAGGGAAATCCGCCGACATTGTTCGGCGTGTCGGATACATAAGAGAGGACTATTGGATACCTAAGAGAGGATAGAGGATAACCCCCCCCTTAGTCCCCCCCCGGGACACGTCAAATACGCATCGTTTTCGGTCGCCAGCCCCCCCCCCCCCTCCCCCTCCTACCGCGCGGCAATTTGATGACGTTCCACTAAACGTAGTCTTCGGGGAGCCGGTGTCGCAAAACAGGGGTCCCAGGCTCGATTCCCCCTGCCGGCTTTTTGGCTGGCTTGGGCTTCTTGCATCCTTTTGCCGAAAATCTGGAAAAACTCAATGTTTTTGGTCGTCCTCTTTGCGAAAACGCAGGAAAACCGTGCTTTTTGCGGAAAATACTGGGGAGCAAAGGGGAAGTGCAAGGATACATACATGCATACATTACATTACATTACATTACATTACATGACATGACATGACATGACATGACATTACATGACATTACATTACATACATACATACATACATTACATACATTACATACATTACATACATTACATACATTACATACATACATACATACATACATACATACATACATACATATGCATACATATACATACATACATACATACATACATTACATACATTATATTACTTACTTACTTACATGCTTAGATACGTGCGTACATGCATACATACATACACACATTACATGCATACATTACATTACATTACATTACATTACATTACATTACATTACATTACATTACATTACATTACATTACATTACATTACATTACATACATACATTACATGCATACATACATACATATACATACATACATACATACATACATACATACATACATACATACATACATACATACATACATACATTACATACATACATACATACATACATACATACATACATACATACATACATACATACATACATACATACATACATACATACATACATACATACATACATACATACATACATACATTACATACATACATACATACATACATACATTACATTACATTACATTACATTACATTACATTACATTACATTACATTACATTACATTACATTACATTACATTACATTACATTACATTACATTACATTACATTACATTACATACATACATACATACATTACATACATACATACATACATACATACATACATACATACATACATACATACATACATACATACATTACATACATACATACATACATACATACATACATACATACATACATACATACATACATACATACATACATACATACATACATACATACATACATACATACATACATACATACATACATACATACATACATACATACATACATACATACATACATACATACATACATACATACATACATACATACATACATACATACATACATACATACATACATACATACATACATACATACATACATACATACATACATACATACATACATACATACATACATACATACATACATACATACATACATACATACATACATACATACATACATACATACATACATACATACATACATACATACATACATACATACATACATACATACATACATACATACATACATACATACATACATACATACATACATACATACATACATACATACATACATACATACATATACATACATACATACATACATACATACATACATACATACATACATACATACATACATACATACATACATACATACATACATACATACATACATACATACATACATACATACATACATACATACATACATACATACATACATACATACATACATACATACATACATACATACATACATACATACATACATACATACATACATACATACATACATACATACATACATACATACATACATACATACATACATACATACATACATACATACATACATACATACATACATACATACATACATACATACATACATACATACATACATACATACATACATACATACATACATACATACATACATACATACATACATACATACATACATACATACATACATACATACATACATACATACATACATACATACATACATACATACATACATACATACATACATACATACATACATACATACATACATACACATACATACATACATACATACATACATACATACATACATACATACATACATACATACATACATACATACATACATACATTACATTACATTACATTACATTACATTACATTACATTACATTACATTACATTACATTACATTACATTACATTACATTACATTACATTACATTACATTACATTACATACATACATACATTACATGCATACATACATACTTACTTACTTACTTACACTACATACAAACATGCATACATACATATGTACATGCATACATACATACGAGAGAGTGAGATTGGGGAGAGAGAGGCTTGGGGGGGGGGGTGGGGAGGGAGAGAGGACAACAGAACACACAAGGGAGACAAGGGAGAGAGGAGGAAGGAGAAAAGGGAGAGGACAATGTCGGCGGACTGAGCCGGAGGCTCTAAAGTCATAAGGATCAACAGGTACGTTGTTGCTGCTGTCGCATTCTTTTATTGGGGGGGTTATTTTGTGGAGTTGGTAGCTCCTCTCTTGGAGTTGGCGTTTCTGCGTTGCTTTTGAAGTGGACTTTGTTGCTTGGAGTGTGTGCCATTCCTGGGCAACCATCACCCCCATCGAAAGCCTTTTGGTTTGAATGTAGGGAGCAGAAGGGACGTCCTACGAAGGCCACCTTCGGATCTTCTTCACCGCGCCTTTGAAAAAACCTTTGGGTGAAGCTCAAAATGGGTGTGGCTCAAAATTAAACAGGAGGGGTTACGCAGGTTTTGGTCCATGTTTCCACTTGCCGGGGTTCCATTTTGGTTTCTTGAGCCACTGCCAAATTTGACCAACTTGAGGGGGGAAAAAAGTGGGGAAATGCCGAGTAAAACCCTGGGGGCAGCGCTGGTCAGCGGAGCTGCCCCCGGTGGTTTTTGGGGTGCATTCTCCGCATCCCGCGAAGAAAGATGCCCCGCCTGATCTGGCCCAGAAGCATCGCCCCGGCACCTGGGAACGAGGCAAAGAATTCCAGCAGGTCCCCTTTTGGTGATACCAAACAGCAAGACACCCACACAAAACCCGAGGTACTTGGATCTGCAACCCACTCAGCTGGTTGAAAGTGGGCAACCCCCACCTGCTGCCAGTAGCTGTGGAACCTTGTAATGGTGACCCCACACTCGTCAAGTAATTCCCTTCCAAAGGTGATGATTCCCTACTAAACTTAGGGAGAAGCACCCCCCTATGAATAAACCTGGCTTGACTTTCTTTAACTTGGTCGACATTGACTAGGCACTCCAGTAGAGAGGATAGAATCAGAGTACCCTTTTTCTGTAGTCGATTTAGTAGGAGAACTCTCCCAACCCCAAAAAAAAAAACGGGTGAGAAAGGGCACTTGGCTGGGGGACCTAGTTGACCTAATTTTAATGGCTTGAAGATCCAAGTCTGGAGAGCCTTGGGCAACTTGGTTGACGTTGGAAGGGAACAAAAATTCAAATTCTAGCAGTGAAGTGGTTGGATTTCGACCACTAAACCACAATATGTGGGTGAACTATAACATTTCACCAACCTGAAATAAGGTGGTTGGGGGGGCTATTCCCCACATAAACCACCATTTGGGGTGAGGTCGTGTGAGGTCGTTATAATTCACACCCAGACAACATGCAAAAATGTAAAATGGCTGTGGCTCCAAAAACTGGTACCACTTTTTGCCCCCTTCAATGGACACAAAGACCAAAACCTGCGTAACCCCAGCTCTTCAATTTTCAGCCACGCCCAAATGTTTCCCAACAACCATGAAACCATGGCCAGGGCGCCGCCGGAGAAACGCAGGCGCGAGGCCGTGAAGTTGTAGCACACCACCTGCGGCACCGAGGAGTTGATGAACTCCACGTTCGGCAGGTTGACGTTGCCGGAAGCCACGATGACCTCGCAACAAGAGACTGGCGATGTGATAGGGAAGGTGAAATGGAGTCCACCCAGGCGTTTGGTTCCCCCGAAAAAGAAAAAAACAAGAAAAAACATTGAGACCACAAGGTTCTCTTTTCTAAAAACATAGGGGTCATTCCATTTCTTGTTCCCTCCCGATTTCGCACCAGCGATAGGAAAGTGCTTGAACACAAAAGAAGCCAGGCGTCGGTTTTTCCTACATGGTTGCTCTTGAGTCCGTTTTTTGATTTGCCAGAAGCAGCCTCTACCACTGAAAGGTTCATCCCGCTAAGTGAAACTGAAGCCAGAAAGGCAGGCAGTGAATAAACCAATCTCACAAAGGGTAGTGTCCCAAGTAAAGCCGCGCCCTCCGTGCTGCTGTTCAGCCTCACCTTTTGGGTTGCCAACCTCATTTTGTCCAAAACCCAAAGGGCTGTCTGCAAGGCTGTCGTTGGGAGGTTGCTGGTTGGGTATGCGTGAAGCGGGGCTCTCCTCTTCACTAGGTCCTCCAGTAGAGAGGTTAGAATAAGGGTGCCCGATTTTCTCCCTGTAGTCTATTTTAGTAGGGAACCCTCCCAACCAAACCAGAAACGGTACAAGGGCACCTAGCTGGGGGACCTAGTCTTGTTTTCCTTTCGGTCCATCCGACTCCGAGCCACTCCGCCCTCCGGCGAAGAGCAGTTGGCCAAAAACAAGTCCGTCTCACTGCTCACGTGGTGAGCGGAGATGGCTGCCCCTGGAAGTCGCTCTCTCGTCCGCGTGGTATGTGGTGGGGGCCCCAAAAAGGACTCGGTCAACATGTGAGTCACAATCAAAACCCGGTACAAAAATGATCGACCCAGAACCATGCTTCAAGAACTAAGAAGGCGGATATCCCTAGCTATATATGGCGGGGATCGTCCCTTACTGACCTTCACTTGCCCGGGTTTTGATTGTGGCTCATGTGCTATGCTTTTGGTTGCGGGAAAAGGTGATCACCTTTTGGGGCCCATGACGAACTATGGTTGCCACAAAAGGGGAAAGCAACAGCTCAAAAGGTCGATTCGTTTGGGGCAACTGAGCATATTCTCTGACACTGGCAAAATAGGGAGTCCCCTTGTTTTTGAGGTTGAATTCAAAATGGCACGGGTCCCCGCCTGTCCCTCTCAGAAATTTGTTGACCGAACCCCACATGGCATGGAACTTAACACGGGTTCCAACTGTGGACCAAGTGACCATTTGGCTCGGTGCGCCTTTTCTGGGTTCTCCACTAAATTAGGGGGCCCTCAAACTGCCGGCGGTCACTTTTCTAGCACAACAAAAAAACAAGAAACAAGTTGGCTTCTCTACAAGGATCAAAGCCTTCTTGAGCCCATTGATGGAGTTGGCGTGACTGTATATATAGTTCACATCAGTTCACCATCAAAGTCAGCGAAGGGATAGGTTTTCACACTCAAGTTTACGAGACTCTAGGTCCATTGATTCGCGCCCTCTGTATCTCCTCTAAATGGTGGGTTTAAAGGGCCACCACTCGGGTCACCCCCGCGAGGTCGTACCTAGGGGTCCGAAATCAGCCCTGAAGAATGAACCTCGTGGGTCCCGAATATGGATCTATTCCGATGTAGGGTGCCAAATATGCCATGAGATGTAGGGTGCCCCCAATATGCAATGAGGAGGTAGAAGTCCAAAACACGTAAATAGCAGTGTTTGGTGTTCAATGGAAACAATGATATCAATACCACAAGTGATCAAGCTGGTTCTTCTACTGTCGAATGACAAATGGGAGTCGCACATGAGTGGAGCTGCTGGAATCAAGAAACAAAAATCCCTTCGCCCAATCTCACCGAGCCCCGGCCCTCGCCTGACCGCACATCTCGAGCGGCGCAGTCCACGAATCGCGCCTGCTAAGCGAAAAAGCGGGCGGCTTTGTGCCCAAAGCCGTAGCTTGAGACATGGACTCCGATTAGCTAGGTCCTCCAGTAGAGAGGTTAGAATAAGGGTGCCAACTTGTTTCTGTACGTAGTCTGGTTTAGTAGGGGAACCCTCCCAACCAAAAAAGGGTGAGAAAGGGCACTACTGGGGGACCCAGTCAGAATCCGATCCAAATCCATGACTGAGCTTGACTTTTCGATTTTTTGAGCCGCCCTTCTACTGGGCGGTCCGTTTTCAGATCAAATCCGAAACCCCAACCACAAAACCCACTAAAAACCTTCAAAGAAAGCTCAGCTACCAGACGATCCGCTGGCTCCCAACCGCCAAGTCTACTCAGGACGCCTGGTTTCCCTCTCCCCTCTCATTTGGCCGAGGCACAGTTGTCGCAAGTTGAACTTCACCTCGCGTCGGCACGAGTGGACCCGGGAACAGGAAGGCGTGTGACATTTGCTAGTGCTACATGTGTCGCGCAGCAGCCCTCCTCGAACTCTTTCACACTGATACGGCGCTGGCCGAAGCCTCCCTCAGCTTCCTTTGGATTCAGCCTTGGATCATTTGGGCCTTGCGGGATTCCCAACGCCCTGGACGCCCAAAGCTTCACATCCCCAAAAAACGCCAAAGGCCTACCTAAATCGCGGCATCTTTTTGTCCAAAGCCTTCCATGTGCTTTTTCGTCTCCTGGAAATGAGAAAAATATGTCCAGTGATGGGTTCCGACCAAGAAAACAACCAGGGAAAACTAACAAACGAGTCATTCCGCAAATGGAATTACGACCAGGAGTTCAGAAAATCAGTCCCCCAGTCTCTCCGGCCTCTTGCTCATGTTCCTCTTCCAGACCACACGTTCCCTTTGAAAGATATGCCTTGGGCGTGGGGTATGGGAGAAAAGATATGGCGCAACTTCGCAGTTCGGCCAATGCGCGCCTTCGAAACCCGTGGCTTATGGCATATCAGTCTTTCGGCTTCTCTAAGGGCGCCCAAACAAAAACGGAACTGGGATGTGCGTTGCCAAGCGGTTCGCCTTTTGGCCAATATATCCCAAGGTTAGTCCCACTTAGGACAACCAAAACATCAGTGGGCTGTGATCCCGTGTGACCATGACAATTTACTAGCTTGGCGAATTGGACAAGGGGCCCTTGCCCATTTTGGGGTTTCAAGGAAAACCAACAAGGAAAAAAATCACATCTAGATGACGCTGAAGCGAAGAGGTCAACTTGCTGGTGCTCAGTAGGGGATGACCCAACAACTTGTTGGAATGAACCTTTTGAGATTCCCCTGAAAGAAACCAACTCGGGATGGCTTTTCTTGGGGTCATTCCATTTCTCATTCCCTGCTATCTATCCTGCAAGTCAATACCTTCATTTGCAAAGCCCCCTGAACAAAAAACTATTGCCGGTGATATAATTTCTTCCAAACCAACAGAGGAAAACAACACATGGGTGTGGCTCAAAATTAAAGAGAGGGCTCACATGGGTGTGGCCCAACACATGGATGAACGCTAGGGTTTCGCATGTTTTTCTCTTTGGTTCCAGCAACCAAGATACCATTTGAGTACCTTTTCGTGAGCCACAGCCACAGCCAAATGGATCAAAAATAGGTACCCAAACTGGACCCCTACCAAGGACTAAAAACCCTCGGTTTTCTGGTGGTTTAATTTTGACCCATACCCACATGGGTATGGGTCAAAATTGAACCACCAGGAATCGGACCGCAGGTTTTGGTCCATGTTTCCACGTACTATGGCTGCCTATGGCTCCATTTGAGGTACCTATTTTTGCCCAGCCATTTTTGCCAAGGGGAGCGACTTTTTGTTTTCCTTCGCTCCAAACGCGCGGCAGGCGCGCCTGGGGTGTAGATGGCTCCGCCCCACTGCGCGCGGCAGGCTTCGAAGCTGGTGGGGCCCAGCAGCGACACGAGATCTCAGCGACGTTTGCACGAAGCGAAGGAAGGGCTCAGGCTCAACTTGCGATCGGCAAAGGGTAGGGAGTGTGGTGGTTTGAGTTCCTTTTCATTTTGAGACGATTCAAGTGGGCGATTTTGTTTGAAGGGAGCGGTCACAGGCAGCAGAGTTGTTTTTAATCGTGGCTTCCTTTACGAGGACCAACGTTCAGCTCTTGTAGGTTCAATTAGGGAAACCCTTCATTTCAACCAACAAGTCAAAGTCTAAATGTCCGTTACCCAATCAAGGATAGATCGCCCTTTCTCAAAGTCTCCTTGTCGAGAAATTTCTTTGGGCATGTGGCGTGACCGCTAGGATGGGGAGTCCTGGCCTGTCCCGGCAAGTTCCGAATCCGTCTGTTTCATGGGAGACTCGTGACTGCAAAACGACACATCAACATAGCGCTCGAACCCCGTGAGAACCCCCAAGGCCAAGGGAGTTTCAAGGGCGCGTCGCTTCTTCTTCGTCGCTCACCTTCAGGCCGCTTCGCTTTTGAACCAACTTTCGGGGTGAGATCGGTACCTTGGGGGGGGCAAACAAGGTCCCGAACAAAAGCTTCAGGCCTCACCAGCCTCAGTCCGGAGCAACGTCCTCAAAATGACCCTCTAAATTGAATGTGTAAGTGGAGGCCGACCCGACCGACCCCACAGCACCTCTCAACATGCTTCCACTGATTTCGAGACCATGGACATCTCCTGGCTGCTCGGAATCAATCTTCTAGGGGTTGATTCCATTATTTTCAACTATCCTTCTTCTCAAAAACCGATCGCTGTTTCCCCAGGGTTTTGGGTGTAGAAAGATCCGGATGCCTGGAAAGATGGAACTGGAAGATACCCCTAGAGAAAACTTCCCGTGCTCTTCTTTTAGCCCAGCAGCTGAGCGCAATGCTCGCCAGTGTGCGCGTGCCGTTCAGGTATCTGGAGGCCATGTTCACGGCCAACGAGCGAGTGCGAGTGTCCGTGAAGGTGGTCTCGGGCGGTTGCGACAGGTTGTTTCCATCTTTGGCCATGGGTCAAAAGCCCGTACCCCCTAATCCCACTAAAATAGGTTCTGAAATGAGTGGTGCACCTACCCAAGTATGGTACCATTGGTTTTGACAACCACAGCCATTTGTCTCATACAAAAGCCCCAGAACTTGGTGTTGACGTTAGGGGAGCAAAACAGATTAAATGTTAGTTCAGTTAAGTGGTTGGATTTCAACCACTAAACCACAATAAGCAAAAGTGTGAAAGGTTTCCCAACAACAACCATGAGAAAAGGGCGGGTTCCGCAAAATGGCAGAAAAAAAAGATGGTATCACAAAACACAACTGACCTCTGTACTGAGAAGAACTGCTCGTGCTGCTTACATGGAGTGGCATCACTTGCTTTCTGCAATGACGTTTCGCACCACCCAGCACAAACATGACAACACAAGTGTACTTGAGGCGTGAGATATCGAACATCAAAAGACAGCTTGGAAAGGCACCGACAGGCAAGAAGGGACTCCCCAATTCCATTTATCTGGATGAAGGGACTTGTGCGCTGGCATTCCCGCTCTTGCAAGCACAACGCACACCTCTCCCAGCGTGATGGAGTGTCCTTCTGCACCAACCAGGGCGTACCCTCAACAAAAAACAGGCCCATATGAACAGACTCACTCTCAAGATTGCTCAGTGGGATGGTGTCCCCTAATTGCATGGGGCTGAATTCTGATATGGGACCCCCTTCGGACATTGTTTGGGACTTCTATCCACCAGCCGCATTTTATGGGAGTAGTGTTGATTGCCAAATGGGTATTGCGGCCTTACCCAAGAACTCACCCATCCCACCGTTTGCACGGGTGGCACTTACTTTTAGGAACCTTGGCCAATGGGTCGATGGGCCTGTGTGTTTTGGAGGCCCTGATGTCTTAGGCAAAATCGGTGCTTCTGAAAT